TTTTCTTCTCGCTTTCCCTGGTTGCACAGGGGTGAGTCACGAAAGTCATGTCGCCTGCATCAGGCGCCCACAGTTCGCGGCTCCGTGCGTTTCTGGTGTTCACTGCCGACCGCAGACACGTCGAGCTTCGTGCCACTGGAGCTGCGCGTGACGGCGGCCTCCGGATCTCCTCGCTACCACCGCATCATCCATATCAATGAAGTTGGTAGGTGAGCGGGGGATGGGAGCGACATCTGTCGGGGTGGAGACTGGGCCGGGTCCCCGCCTACCCGATTCACTTCACCTTCTGCAGTGCTCTTGGACGCCCCCGCGGGGCTGCTGGCGCGTCGGGCAGAAGAGGGTAGCCACGTGCTGCTGCAGTGGCTGCCACCTCCTGGAGCACCTATGACCACCCACATCCGCTACGAAGTGGACGTGTCAGCAGGCAACAGGGCAGGGGGAACGCAAAGGGTGAGAGCCCGAGAGGACAGCCCCATACAACCTCCCTGAGTCCTAGCCCAAAGTCCCATTCTTTCAGGTCCCTCCCCCAATGCCCAACATCCCATCGCTATTTTTTAATTGCTCTCTTTTCCGACATTTAAACATTTTTAAAAAGTTACATTTGTTTGTGTGTTGAGTGCACGCTTCCCACTGTGCACTTGAAGAGGTCAGCGAACTAATTTCATGAACCTTCTCCTTCCACCACTTGGGCCCACTGAACTAGCTCGCCGCACCATACCATTAGCGCTCACGTTAGCTCACGCCCACTTTGCTCAGGCTTCGCCCGCTACCCATCAGAGCCTCAGCCCCTTTTACAACCTGGTTCATATCCTCAGACCTCAAGGAGGCGCTCTCTGTGAGGTGTGTGGCTCTGCCTTTATGTGGCCCAGAAACAGCTCTTGATTTTGTGGGGGGTGGAGGTGGGTGGGTCCTTGTTCTGACTGGCCTTGAGCCGAAAACGGGCCTTGAAAAGTACCATTCTCATTGTTAGGGTGCTGACTAGATGCCTCCGCGCAAGCTCGCATATCCTCTTCTTATTGGGTGCTAGTTGGTCAGATCTCTCCCGGCTTCACCCGCCCCTAGGTGGAAGTCCTGGAAGGACGCACTGAGTGTGTACTGAGCAACCTGCGGGGCGGGACGCGCTACACCTTCGCTGTTCGAGCCCGCATGGCTGAGCCGAGCTTTAGCGGCTTCTGGAGCGCCTGGTCTGAGCCCGCGTCGCTGCTGACCGCTAGCGGTGAGTCCCCAGTTCCTCAGAGTGAAGGAGAGGTGGGCCAAACACCCGGCAAACCTCCCTGACCTCCTTCTTGTCTCCCAGACCTGGACCCTCTCATCCTGACGCTGTCCCTCATCCTCGTTCTCATCTCGCTGTTGCTGGCAATGCTGGCCCTGCTGTCCCACCGCCGGTGAGCCCACAACCCGAGTTAAGCTCTAAACTTGCACCTCCCTCTAGAGAAAGCAAGGCTGAGGGGTGAGCACTTGCCCAAGGTCACACAGTTACCACTGATAGAAGCAAATCAGATGGTACCCAGACTCTTGAACTTCTTTGTTCTGGAGTGCCTGCTGGAGTTCCTTGACCTTGGTGGTGACTGCTTCCTGCATTGTTTTGTGGGTTCCATTTCCCAATGTAGTCAACTTTGTCAAATCAACCAGATAGTTTAATGGGAGAGATTTAAGCCCACGGTGTTTATAATTCTCAGTGCACTCAAAGCTTTGCCTTTCCTACTTTTCCAGAAAGTGCACATCCTGTGTTTATTACACACACACACACACACACACACACACACACACACACGGAGCTGGTGGTTCTGGGGCTCCCACCCCCAGCCCATGGAAAGGAGTGATGTGTGACAGCATGGACTTAAACTCCTATGCATCCTTCAAAACTATCCTAGCTACCCTTTTGTAGGACCTCATGATGCCTCCTCCACAGGCTGTTTGCCACTCCTGCAGGAACATTGGTGGGGGTCTGAGAGGGTGTGGGTGAGTATCCAGCATCACACATCCATGGATTTGTTTCTGACAACTTTCGCAGGACTCTGAAGCAGAAGATCTGGCCTGGCATCCCAAGCCCAGAGAGTGAGTTTGAGGGTCTCTTCACCACCCACAAGGGTAACTTCCAGGTATGCGACCTGTTTGTTCTCTGTGCTCCTGGGGCTGCCTGCTGACACATCCTGGAGCCCAGGCCTCTGAGCAGGAGGGTGCTCTCTTCCCAGCTGTGGCTGCTGCAGCATGATGGCTGTCTGTGGTGGAACCCCAGCAACTCCTTCCTTGAGGACCCACCTGTCCACCTGGAAGTCCTCTCAGAGCGCTGCTGGGGGGTGCCACAAGCAGGGGAGCCAAGGGCAGATGATGAGGGGCCCTTACTGCACCCAGTGGGCACTGAGCACGCCCAAGACACCTACCTGGTATTGGATGAATGGTTGTTGCCCCAGAGCCCATGCAGCGAGGACCTCTCTGGATCTGGGGACAGTGTGGACCCAGGGACTATGGATGAAGGCTCAGAAGAGTCTTCCTGCCCCTCAGACTTGGCCTCCAAGCCCAGCCCAGAGGGCACCTCCCCTTCTAGCTTTGAGTACACCATCCTGGACCCCAACTCCCAGCGCCTATGCCCAAGGGCACTGCCTCCTGAGCTGCCGCCCACTCCACCTCACCTGAAGTGCCTGTACCTGATGGTGTCAGATTCGGGCATCTCAACAGATTACAGTTCAGGGGGCTCGCAGGGAGTCCATGGGGGCTCATCTGGTGGGCCCTACTCCCACCCCTATGAGAATAGCCTTGTCCCGGGCCCAGAGCCTCTGCACCCCAGCTATGTGGCCTGCTCCTAGGACTCCAGCCTACAAGATCCCAAGCCCACAACTTCTTGTACAGGGCCATACTTAAAGTCACTGCTGACCTTGGCCCTCTGCTCAGCTCATCCTGCCCAGGAAGTGACAGCTTGGCAATGTTAACATGGACAGTTATCTGTCTGTATATAGAAATATAATACATACCGGTTTTTCTACCATGACTTTGTCTTATTTGTGTGTGTGTATACATATATATGTGTGTGTGTATATATACATATACATACATACATATATATGGGTGCATGTATGCCTCAAGTCATGTATGGCTTCAGTGCCTTGCTCCAGCCATACTTCCATGTCCAAGGCTAGATGTCTATGCTTCTGGTTGTTTCTCTGACCTCTGCCCCATCTTGCCTTTGGATTGTTGGATCAGACTGCACACTACAACCAGTCTTTTGTTTCGTCTGTTTCTTGTATGAGTTCCAGGGATGTGGAACTCATGTCCTTAGCTTGCCTTTGTTCTGAGTTCTCTAGCTAGTCCATATTTTAGTTATCTGACATATGGTAGCCGAGGATGACCCTGAACTCATGATGCCCCTGCCTTTACCTTTGAAGTGCTGGAACTCCAGGCTTGTTCCACCACAGCGAGCTAATTCGGTGCTAGGGAATGAACTCGAGCTTCATACACGGTAGGCAGGGACTCCACCCTCTGTCAGGTAAACAGCCTCAATTCCCATCTTTCCTGGATCTAGACCATGGCAAAACACAGCTGAAGTCTTTGAGCTAAGATTGAAAGTTTGGATCTGGTGACCTGAAGAGGGATTGCAACAGTCAGTGTACATTTGACACACCCACCTGAAACTTAGTGCCTTATCTGATGCTTTGTGACACTGCTCCTGGGGACATGAACTAACTAACATCCACTCACCATGAATAGAAATCCTATGACAGACCAAAGTATGAGTGCCACCAAAGCCCCACTTTGATGAACCAATGAGTTATTGGTGTTATGTACAGGAATATGGGTAAGGGGTTACTTATAAAAGTGGAAATGACTCAGACGGCTGAATAACCAAAGCCCACCCCAACATGGGTGACATCTCCTCACCAAAACTGGAAACCTGGAGACAGCTCCACAGGCTGGACAGCATCCTTTCCAGGCAGCTCAGCTTACCTGAGTTTCAGGGACTTCCCGAGCTTGAGGAGCCTCCATTGCAGGATGAATTATTCACCTCTTTACAACACTACAACAACCTGGTCTTGAGCTTACATCCAAGATGGATTTTGGTTGTTTTTTGTTTTGTTTTGAAGATTTATATACTTTTATTTCATGTGTATGAGTGTTCTGCTTCTATGTATCTATGTTCACCACTTCATGTCGAGTGCCCAAGGAGAACATCAGATCCCCTGGAGCTGTAATTACAAATAGTTGTGTCTGACATGGTTGCTGGGAACTGAATCCAGGTCCTATGAGAGAATCCTTAACCATGGAGTCCTCTCTCCTGCTCCCTAATTTTTTTGTTTGCCTTTGAGACAGGGTCTTACTATGTAGTCCTGGTTGGCCTGGAACATTCCATATAGACCAGGCTGGCCTTAAACACAAACACATCTGCCTGCCCCTGTGCTAGGATTAAAGTTTTGGCCCTTTTTGCTTTTTGTCTAGTATAGGCCAGAGTGGCTTCCAACACCTTAAGTAGCCAAGGACAACCTTGTACTGTGACCTCCTATCTCTACATCCCAAAGCTGGGCTTACCATTTTGCAAAACACCATGCTCAAATTCAGTTTAATGGCTTTAAAAATGTGTGTCTTAAGAAAGCTAAATGTATACATATTCTGTACAGAGTGGTTCCACTTCCAACTGTACACCTAAACACATGTGCACATGTATGTGTATGATTAGACTCCCTAACAGTATGTAAGCCAAGACACAGGTAACTCGTATGCAGGCACCCAGAGTATGCAAGAGGAGCCAAGTATGGGAGCACACTCCATAGGCTCTGCCCTCAAGAGATGAGCCTAGATGATCAGGAGTTCAAGAATAGCCTCAGCTAAGTACCTGGTCTGAGGCTAGCCTGAGCTACACAAGATCCTGTGGGAAAAGAACGCAACAAGTAAAAAGAAATGAACTAGAAAACATGGCTGAGTCTCTAACAAGGGCAAATGGGCAAAGGAAGCCTTGGATGACTATAGTTATTTATTTTTATTTATTTATTTATTTATTTTAAAGGTCTTATTTATTATTATTATTATTAATGTGGAGGGCAAGTCTGTGCCTCTATCCAAATGGGAGGTGAGAAGACACTTTGCAGGAGTCAGTCTCACTTTCTACTATGCATATGGGTGCCGGTAATCAAAGCCAGGTAATCAAGCTTGTTGGCAAGACCCCTTACCTACTGAGCCATCTTACCGGCCCCAACAATGCTAGCTTATAAAGAGAAAACCTACATTTTCCAGGACTTTGAATCTGCACCTGTCCGTGAAAGAAGTATTCTAGTCAAGGGAAACTGAGGACCAGAAAGGTTGTCACATTACAGAGTTAATGACTGGCTTTCTGTACTTGAGCAATTTTTATCTGGGCTGGGCTCGGAAGCCTGGGTAGGCCATGGGATGATCTTCATCTCTCCATTGGGTAAGAAAGTCACGGACCACTCTGTCCTGGGGCTCAGCTTGCTGGACTCCAGGCTGGCTCGAAGGCAGTGCTGCTGTCCCGAGCCTAGGGTATCTGGCTGCAGCCAGCACTGTGCAGGAAAATACCGTTGAAGCAATGTCAGATGTGGGGCATCACTGTCTGCTTCTTTTTGGGTCTCTAGGGCCACCACAAGCCCGCATCTTCCACTGGCTCCAAGGCGGTGGCTAAAGTAGGCAGCAGTATCCAGAAGCAATGCAGCTAAGTAGGCGGCTTCTTGAATCCCTGAATCCTCTGCTAGATATTCTTCCAGGCCGTCCAGCAGTAGAAGGGACAGAGCAGGACCTGGGGCCTCATGGGCAGAGGCCAGCAGCTGGAGAAGCTCTGGAACTGAGGATGGGTACTGGAATCGAACCTTCTATAAGATAGGAAAAGGCAAGATTTAACATAGGAGACCGTGACTCTTCCATATTTTCCCAATCACGGCTCTCATGCCCCTATGTAAAGTTCCCGGATGAAGCACCAGCTCGGATACTGTTTTGTCACCTGCCCTTTTCCAGCATGTATCACTCCCCAAGATAAGACATTTAAGAAAGATTCTTTTTTTTTTTTTTTTTTTTTTTTTTTTTTTGATACAGGGTTTCACGTAACCCAGGATGACTGAAAACTCGTTATGTAGCCAGATGGCCTGATACTACTGAAATCTCCTGAGAACTGAATCACAGACGTGCATTATCACGCCTGGATAGAAGAATGGAGCCCAGGGCTTCACGCATGTTAGTTAGTTAAGAGCTCTATTTTATTGTTGTGGGAGAGAGAACGCGCATGCTCCCAAGGGAAACTAAACTTTAGACACAGGTTTCTACCCTGACTCCACCCCCTTGGCGTCCACGCTCGCTAATGCCGACCGATCATAGGATGGTCTTTCATTCAATCTTAACTAAAACCGCACTGCCCCGCCCCGCATGGCTACACCGCCATCTCCACCTCGTCCACATAGGCGTTATGACGTGCCATTGGCCTGCCGACCTGTCACTCACGCAAACCTATCTTGCCATTGGGTGACAGGTTCCAGGTCGAGCCCTCCGGTTACCTGGAGCCTCCAGGGGTTCCGCGCCGCGGGTGTATTGAGCGGCAAGCTCTGAAGCGGCCTTCGTGTCAGGAAGAGGACAGGGCCGCGGCCTTCCCCTGCCGCCTCAAGGGCGGCCGCAAACAGCAGCGACGTCTGCGCGGAGCGCGGAGTGCCTAGCAGCAGCAACGGCGGCCCGGCAGCCCCATCCCCTGCGGGCCCTGCCGCGCGGCCTGCACTCAGCACCCGCCTCAGCGCCTCCGCCATTTGCCGAGTACCGCTCACCAATCAGGGGTGAGTTCTCATCCAAGGCCCGCCCACACCGATGCCTCATTGGCTATAGTTCACCGCTTCTCTCGGTCTCTGGAACTGTTGTAAATGGTCAAAACACGGAACGTGAAGGAAATTGGTGCTTGAGGGAATCTGCTTCTGGAAGCCTCGCGAGGGTGCAAACGTGCTACCTAGAGACGCCCAGCCTCTAGGTCGGAGCCACAGAGGATGGCTCAGCCGTTAAAAGCACCGGCTGCTCTTCCAGAAGACCTGGGTTCAGTTCCCACCACCCACAAGATGACTTAAAGCGTCCTTAAAGCCCGCTTCTGGCCTCCGCAGGCACGAGACACACACACACGGTTGTGCGCGCGCGTAAAAATAAGTCTTAAGAAAAAAATGTAGGTCACCTTTAGCTACATATTGAAGTTTTCGGCCAGCCTGGGCTACATCATAAGCACCTGTCTTAAAATAAATAATAATTTAAACTAGACTCCTAGCCTCAGCTTGCCAACCAGCAAAATGAGTATTATGATTCCTTCTAATCATTGCAATGTGTTGGTGTGAATACTCGCTAATGTCACCGAAGGACAGTTCACAGATGGAAAGGGACAGCTTGCATACTTGGATATAGGGATATGTTTATATGGGCTACAGACTCGGGACTCAGATGATTTTTGTTTGTCTGTTTTTGATAGGGTGCCAATCATTTCACACTTGCCGTGAACTATGAGGATGGCTTATGCTACCATGCCAAGTTAATGCGGAGCTGGGGATCAAATTCGGGTTTGTTTGTTTGTTTGTTTGTTTTTTGATTTTCGAGACAGGGTTTCACCACCACCTGGTTCAAACTCAGGGTTTTTCACACGTTAAGCAAGCACTCTAGCCGGGTGTTGATGGCGCGTGCCTTTAATTCCAGCACTCAGGAGGCAGAGACAAACAGATCTCTGTGAGTTCGAGACTAGCCTGGTCTACAGAGTGAGTTCCAGGACAGCCTCCAAAGCAATACAGAGAAACCATGTCTCGAAAAACAAATGACAACAAAAAGCAAGCACTCTACAAACTACCATGTCCCTAGCCCTCAATAAGGGATGTCGGTGTGTGTGTGTGTGCCCCTGTGAAGCAATGTGTGTGTGTTTACAGGACAACTTGTAGGATGGAATACAGTTCTTTCTCTCCTACTGTGTGAGATCCCAGGATGAAAGATCTTCAGGGTTAGTGGCCAGAACCCTCAACCATCTCACTGGCCCTGATTTCTGTTTTAATTTTTAAGTCTTTATTTGTGGGGGGTTGTGCAGGCAGGACTGTGCCACCCCAAGTGTGTAGAGGTTAGTCCTTGCCTTCCATGTCATTTGAGACAGTGTGTGTGTTGTTCACTGCTATGTAGGTCAGACTGGATCGCCCGAGAGCTCCTGGGGATCCTTCTGTCTCCACCACCCACCCCCACCATGATACTGATACTGCTGCTCATACCTGCACCACCAGTACTTCAAATACTGAGCCCTCTCCCAGGTCCCCTCTGTGAGGGCTTTTAGAGATGCCTGTCGTCTGACTTTGTTTTTGGCCTGGGACCTTCTTAATGCTTGCTGTGTATTGGACAGGACAAGTTATGCTAGGAGAATGAGGGCCTTGGATGCTTCTTCATGAGAGTCTGCTGACCACACTGGAAAACTGACATTCTTTTATTTATTTATTTTATGTGTATTGGTGTTATGCTTGCATGTATGCTTGTGTGAGGGTGTCAGATCTTGGAGTTATAGACAGTTGTTAGCTGCCACATGGGTGCTGGGAATTGAACCTGGCTCCTGGAAGAACAGAAAGTGCTCTTAACAACAGAGCCATCTTTCTAGTCCCGAGAACTGCAATTCTTATTAAATCATTGAATGAAGGAAGGAAGAATTAATAAGAACCAAGATTCCATTGCTCACCCAGACTTGGCTCTAGAGCTGTCACTCAATCCTGTGTTTCCCTGGAAACCTTGTCTCCTAGTAACTTCAAAGTGGTATGGTTGCCTGGAGACCCAGGGACAGGGCAGAACTGTGATTTCCTGGGTTTACTCTCTCCTTCTGGGGACAGAAAACAGCTCCACAACATCCCCAGTACACCCACACACACAGCTGGGCACCCCACTCCCTGCATGCATGTGAGTGCGCGTGCACACACACACACACACACACACACACACACACACACGCACCATGGCACTTGTCATATATTCCTTTTTCAGACTTTAATTACACCCCCCCAAACACACTCACAGCTCAACCCTGACACAAAGAATCCCATACAGAATCCCCATTTTCATACTCTGTTCTTGCACACACAGACACACTAAGATGATTATGTGATTGGCGTTCTGTACACAAAGGTACATACATCCTGGGCACACTGTGTGCTGCTTCAGCCTCCTACCCCACCCCAGACACACAGCCTCACACTACAAAGCACAAAGCACACAAGCCCCAGGCCGCAGGAGCATACTTAGCACAGGCTCTTCTTGCTCCTTGCCCAGAAGAGTTGGCTCTAAGGGCTCTATCTAGGTCTGTTTTTGCTTGTTTGGTTTCGTGTTTTTCTTCCTCTCTTCCCTTTAGCACTGGGGATTGAACATAGGGCCCCACACATGCTAAGCCTAAATAAGCATTTTAACCCTGAGCTACATACAGACCTGGTTCTCTTTTTTTCTCCTCACTTAAAATGTTTCATTTATTTATTTTTATTTTATGCCTGTAAGTGATTGCCTGCATTTATTATGTACACCACACGAGTGTGGTGCCCTCAGAGGTCAGAAGAGGGCACCAGAAACCCTGGGGCTGGGCTACCATGTGAGCTCTGAGAACTGCAACCAACTCCTCTGCAAGGCCAGTATTCACTTAACACTGAGCTACTTCTCTAGTCTCCCCTCACATTTATTTTATTTATTTTTTTATTTTTATTTTTTCGAGAGAAGAGTTCCTCTGTGTAATGGCCCTGGCTGTCTTGGAACCAGGCTGGCCTTGAACTACCTGCCTCTGCTTTTGCCTGCAGAGTGTTGAAATTAAAGGCCTGTGCCACCAACCGTCATCTGGCTTTTTTTTTTTTTTTTTTTTAATTGAGACACTCAGCTTCTTACATTGCCTAGGCTGGTCTTGAACTTGTGTAGCCCAAGCAAGCCTTGAACTCATGAGCCTTCTGTCTCAGTATCATAAGCAGCTGGGATTATAGGCTGCAGCACTAGGCCTAGCTTCCACTTGGTGTGTGTGTGTGTTTGTCTGCGTGTATGTTTGTGCAGCACATATATTCAGTGTTCATGGATGCCATAAAAGGGCATCAGATCCTAATGGGGGATGTCCTTGTGTATATATGTTTCTCTTATTGGTTGATGAGTAAAACACTGCTTGGCCAGGCAGAAAGTATAGGCGGGGCCAGGAGACGAGAATTCTGGGAAAGGTAGGCAAAGGGAACCCTCCAGCACAGACGCCATGTAGCCCTCCAAAGATGTAACAGGTCTGGGCAATCTCTGGTAGGCCAAGACCACATGGAAACACTTAGATTAATAGAAATGGGTTAATAATTTAGAGTGAGCTAGCCAATAAGAAGTCCAAGACATTGGTCAACAGATTAATAATTAATATAAGTCTTTGTGTGTTTATTTGAGGCTGAGAAGGGTGGCAGAACCTGGCAGAACAAGAAAAACTACCAGCAACAAGATCTTCTAGAATTGGAGTTACAGGTGGTTGTGAGCCACCATGTGAATCCTGGAAATCAAACCTGGGTCCTCTGGAAGAGCAACAAGTGCTCTTCATTTCTGAGGAAATATCTCTCTGGGCCCTTAAATTATTCTTCTTTTTAAAAAGATTTATGTATCTATATTTTATGTATATGGTTGTTTTTCCTGCATTCATGTGTGTGCATGAATGTATGCCTGATACCTGCAGAAGTCAAAAGAGTTAGATTCCTTGGAACTGGAATTACAGACAGCTGTGAGCTTCTCTGTGGGTGCTGGGATCAAACCTGGGTCCTCTGCAAAGGCAGCAAGTACTTACATCCCTGAGGCCTCCCCAGCATTTTTTATTTATTCATTTTTATGTGTTCCTAAGTGTGGCTGTGGGCACTGTCATGTTGAACACATGGAAGGAAAGGATGACCTGTGGGAGCGGGTGTTGGCTCTCTCCTTCCATGTGTGAGTCATGAGATTTGAACCCAGGTTCTCATGCTTAGTGGCAGGCTGCTTTGTCCACCCCCACTTGTTTCATTAACTTGTCTCTGACTGAACATCACCTGGTTGTAGAGGCTTTGCTTGAGCATGTGTCCAAAACTAATCCATCCCCTTCATTTGTTTTTTCAAAGTGGTGATGGCGAACCCCTTTAATCCCAGCATTCAGGAGGCAGAGGCGGCAGAGCTCTGTGAGTTTGAGGCCATCTGGTCTACAGAGCAAGTTCTAGGACAGCCAAGGCCACACAAAGAATCCCTGTCTGGAAAAAAAAAATAATAAATTGAAGTGCCTCTGTGTGTGTGTGTGTGTGTGTGTGTGTGTGTGTGTGTAAGTTTTACCTGCATGTATGTACACAATGTGTATGCCTGGTGCTCCCAAAGGCCAGAAGAGGGCATTAAATCTAGAATGGACTTACAGATGGACATATGGTTGTGAGCCGATATGTAGGTGCTGGAGATCTAATCTAGTACTTCTGGAAAAGTGGCCTCTCTAGTACTTTTTACATTTTTCATCATCACCATCATTGTCATCATCAATGTGTGTGCATGTGTGTGTTTGTGTGCATGCCCATGTGCATGCATGATTGGGCGCCATCCCATGGCAAGCTTGTGGAGGTCAGAGAACAACTTTATCTGTTTCTCTCATTCCGAAACCTTTACCTGGAGATCAAACTTGGGTCAACAGGCTTTGCAACATGCATGCATAGCTGCTGAGCTATGTCACCTGTTCAGCTTTGTCTTCTTGTCTCAGGCAGCCCAGGCTGGACTCCAGCTCGCTATAGTGCTGAGAATGACCTTGAGTTTCTAATCCAACTGCTTTCATCTCCTATGTGCTTGGGTTAGAAGCACACATCGTGCATGGCCACAAAGATTATTATATACTGGGAATGGAACACAGCCTCACACTAGGCAAACGATCTTCCACTGAGCTTAATTTCCAGCTCTGGATAGCTTTAGAAAAACTTAATCACAAGAGTATGCAGCAATCCTCATCAGAGGCCAGCCTCTTCCCCCCTTTAAGGCCTTTCATTGTCCTCCCTCCCAGGAGGCAACACCAAGGACAAGGTCAGTCAGGCGCTGTCCACGGTTCTGAAACTTCTCCCTCCCTGACAGCCAGCAAGTTTCAAGGCCCCGCAGGCCCCACAAAGGATGTCTGTGAATTTTGCAAGCAGCCCTGGTCAGTCAAGATAGAGGCTCTAGGATCAAATGAGCCTTCTTATAGCTGATCTCCTGGTGGCCAGTGCCAGCCCCTCCACTTCCCAGACTGTCTCCTCCTCCTCTGTCTGCTCTTCATTCACTGAGTTCCTGAGTTCCAGTCACACAGGCAGGCATCCTTGTTTTTTGTTTGTTTTTAGTTTGGGTTTATTTGGTTTTTACTGGAGATGTCAGGCATGGGCTTCATCTTAAGACCTTTGCACTTGCTGTCTTGTTTACCTAGGATTCTTACTGCCACACATCCACACACTCTCCAGATGTCTGTGTGACTCTTACTGCCACACATCCACACACTCTCCAGGTGTCTGTGTGACTCTTACTGCCACACATCCACACACTCTCCAGGTGTCTGTGTGACTCTTACTGCCACACATCCACACACTCTCCAGATGTTTGTGTGACTCTTACTGCCACACACTCTACAGATGTTCATGGGGCTCCCTTTCTTCCCTCACATCTCACCTGTGCTGTTTTCTTTTCATTGGACTCCCAGAAAACTCTTTAAATATAGAAACTCTCCATTCCAGAATTTCCTCACACACACTTTCTCCTTTCCTGCTGATGTAGCCTAAACTGGACTGGCTTCCAAGCAGCTGTGTAGCCCAGGATGGCCTTGGACCCCTCACCTTCCTGCTCTCCCACCTCCCAAGTACTGAGATCATAGGCATGTGCCACTATGATCAGGTACTCACCCACTCTGAAAGTGTTTCATTGACTTTATTTAGCACAGTGCTGAGGTCAGAACGTCACCCTGAGTTAGTGGGAAGTTTTCTGGAGCAGTAAACACAGGTTTGTCAGCAAGCACATTTACACAGTGAGCCATCTCCTCAGCCCCCAGGTTTTTTAACTTAAAAACCGTTTTTAATTGTGTGTGTGCGCGCCATGAGAGTATGGGTGCCCTCAGAGGCAGAAAACGGCATCTCACCCCTTGTGAGCAACACTACATGAGTGATGGAAACAGAACTTCACTCAGCCATATCTCCAGGCCCTCTTTTGAAAATAATAGTAGTTATTATTTTGAGAGGGAGAGGCACTGAGAAGATATGCCATACTGTGTGTGGGGAGCTCTCCATAGTTTGTCTTTCCTCCCACCCTGGTTCTAGGGATGGAACTCAGGTTGTCAGGCTCCAAGAAAAGTGTTATCACCCCCTGAGCTATGTAGCTAAAGATGACCTTGAACTCCAGATTCTCTGCCTACACCTCCCCAGTGTTTGCCTACAGGCATGTGCCACAACATCCACTTTATGAGAAGCTGAGGGTGGATGCTAGCTAAGCAAGCATGCTACCAACTGCCCCACATCCCTAGCCTTGACCCAGGATTTTGACCCATGTCATTGGCCCCATGGCCACACTGTCTCTCCACATTTGTCCTTAGATACACTGTGACATGTCACACCCATATTCACAGCCATCTAGATCCAGTGTTAAGACTCCCCCATCTCCCAGTACTGGGGGAGGCGGGCAGCAGGCCAAACTTCTGTTACAAACAGGTCTTTATTAAAGATGAGGGGGGAGGCAGGGAAGGGGGACAGTGTCTCATCTGCCCACTGCCTTTGGCTATTCTCGATAGGGGAACCCCCTTCTGCTTCACCCACGCCCCCCCCAAGATGGCACATCTGCATGAGGCACAGGGGGCAGTATGAAGAAGGGTGAGTCCCAAGAAAATATATTTCCACAGCCCTAATAAATAATAGGAGGTTTGGGGGTGCCCTGGGCACAGCCAAGGGGAGACAGCACCCGGAACTCCAAAACCTGTGAACTGGGGCAAGCCCTACTCAAGTAGGGAGTTGGAGGGTGTGAGATGGTGCACCTGGAGGAGGAGCTAGAAAGGTAGGGGTGCCACAGGACCCTGCTATGGGAGAGCCTGCCCCCACCCTCCAGCTGACTCCATGATTCTAGGGAGAATCTGGATAGCCCTCCTTGGCTTTGACACGGGCGGTCCCCCATTGACTGGAATCATTCCCACCCACTCTCAGCAATTCTGAAAGCCAAGGGCTCTTAATGGCTGTTTAGACATTGCACATTGCACATTGCACATTGGCCGGAGTTGCTAACAAGTGAGAGGTTCCCATTGGCTGAAGTAAACTTTTAGGTTGAATTCTGAGAACTAGGAGCTCTCACTGGCTTGACAATGACCAGTTGGGTCAAGCGTCAGTCGCTAAAAGGGCAGTCTTAGGGACATGGGCCCATCTGATTATTTTTGCCTCCCCGGATGTTTAAGAAAGCCAAAGAGCAGCCAAGAGATCCTTTCCACCCCCACAAGTGTCCTTCCAGCCATCTTCTGACGCCGAGCCTGGCTGTTTTGGAGGGCAGGGTCCTTTAGCACTCACGTGGCACAGGCACGCCGTGCCAGGGAAGAAACAGGGGACACTGGGTAGATTTCTAGGTGGTGAGTCTCACAGCAGGTGGTCGCGGCTGGCAAACAGATAAGGGCTGAAGTTGTCGCGGTGGAAAGGGGAGGGATGGAGTCCACTGAGGGTGTATAGGTCCCGGAGCAGGGGCGTGGGCAGCAACAGCTTCCGGCCGCGACCACCTCCCCCACCTGGGCCCCCGAGTCCAGGGGAGGAAGGCGAGGGACCCTGGCTGGGAGTCGGTGCGGGCAGGGGCAGAGGCAGAGGCAGGGGTGTTGGCTCAGACCTCAGTCGAGGGCGGGGCACACGGGGCGAGGAGCACATCGCTGGGGCCCTGGAGGACACACAGCTGGGAATCAGGTGGCCACGGCGGGCACAGTTCTGCGGCTCTAGAGATGACATTCAGAGATTAAGAGGTTAGCAAAACTGGAAGCGTGGCACACAGGCCCTGGTAAGACCTCTGCACAGCAGAAGACCCCGTCCATCCCCCCACTTCCTAACGCTTACTGGATGGGGTGAGCCGTGCCGGTGTCGAATGCGGCCTGCAGGTCTCGGCTTCCTGAGACAAAAAAGAAGAGGGAAGAGGCTAGAGGATCCCAGGACCCTGCAACTCACAGTCAAAAAGGGCTCATCAGCCAGCCGCCCCACGGAAACCGCCCCAGAGATCACAGGATTAACAATGTAACTTTGGGAGGGAGGGGGAGTGTAGCCTTCCATTCATTAGGCTGCTTTCCTCCTAGGACTTCAACCCCAGGACTGGATGGCTCCCCCTCCCCCAGACAGGGGTCCTCCGCCTGACTTCCTACCTCCCTGGGCCTGCCTGCTCCACCCACCACCAGCCCGGAACAGCTCCCGGGCCCCCTTACCTGGGCCACACTTAACTTTTCGAGGGGGCTGTCCATAGTGGGGGCCTGGCTCAGGTCCTCCCAGGGGGAGAGCCTTCGACCAGAGGGGGGTCGGCTCTGGAAATTATGCACAACACAGGTGACCTATGCCAGAGAGATAGGGGTGTGAAGAATTATGAAAATACCTTGCCCATTTTTCCAATAGAAACTGAGGCTAGGATTTTCAAGCACATATAACCTTTCTTTACAATTTTACTTTTTACTTATTGGTTGATCTCTCTCTCTCTCTCTCTCTCTCTCTCTCACACACACACACACACACACACACACACACACACACACACATCTCTCTATAGCTATCTTGGAACTCTGGCTAGACTTGAGCTCAACAGAGATCCACCTGCATCTCCTCCCAAGTGCTGGCACCAGGAGTGGACTACCATGCCTGGCTGCATTTACATGCTTGATAATTGGTATATTGCAATTATTTGGCATAAATATTGGTTTTTTAATTTTTGTGATTTATTTTTACTTTCTATGAGTGTTTTGCTATATAGACATACATCTGCATGCTTGGTGTACATGGAGGTCAGAAGAGGGCATTGGATCCCATATAACTGGAGTCACAGATAGTTGTGAGCCACCATATGGGTGCTGGGAACTGAACCTGAGTCCTCAGCAAGAGAGCCAATGTTCTTACATGCTGAGCCATCTCTGTATCCCTGAATATGGATACTTCAATGTTTCAGAAATGTTACTTTTATTATAACTACTCACTTTGTGGGGATCACCATAACATACTGCATTCGTGAAGGTCAAAGGAAAACTTAGTTCCTTTCACCTGGTGAGACCCAGAGGATGGGATTTATGCTTAGGCAAATACACAATTGCCTTTACCTAATGACCTTTCTTCTCACAAGCCTTTCCCTAAATGTTCCAGGAAGGGCTGAGTTATGTCTCACTCCATACAATGCTTGCCTAGCATCACAAGAAAGGGAATCTCAGCACTAGGAAGATGAGGCAGGAGGATCAGAATTACAAGGTTATATTTGACTGGATATCCACATGAGAGCCTGTCTCAAAAACAACAAAATGGTCTTGCCAGGAGTAGTGGTACACAACTTTAGTCCCAGCATGTGGGAGGCAGAGATAGATTTCTGTGAGTTCAAGGCCAGCTAGTCTACACAGTGCATTCCAAGCTAGTCAGGGTTGTATAGTGAGATACACTCTAAAAAATAAAATAGAAAAGAAAAAAGAGGTTTCACTAATTCAGTACATAGCCTGAAACTCACAATGTAGACCAAGTTGGCCTCACACTCAAGAAACCTGCCTGCTTTTGCTACCCAAGTTCTGGGGTTAGAGATATGTGACATTGTGCCTGGCCAAAATATTCTTTAAAAATATATTTAGGGGTCCAGGAAAGTGGCTCGGTGTTTAAGAGCACTGGCACACATACACACATTTAATGCAGGTAAAACACACAAAATTAAAACTACACTTTAAACAATCTTTAAACAAATCTTTAAAATATATATGTATACTTTTAAATGTATGGGTGGGTGTGCATGTTTGTGTATGTGCAGGTGCATGTTTGTAGGTGTGTGTATACGTGTGTGCACACAAAGGTGTGTTCTGTGAAGTTGCTGTGTGTGGGAGGTAGGGTCAGTCTCTGGTGTCATTCCTAGGGAGTGGTCAGCCTTGCTTCTTGAGACAGAGCCTCTCATGGCCTAGAGCTCCCAGATTAGGCTAGACTGGCTAGCCAGTGAGCCTCAGGAATCCTCCTGCCTCTGCTAGATGGCAACCACACTACTTCTGGTTTTTACATAGGAGCCAGAGATCTGAACTTAAATCCTCGTGCTTGTAAGACAAGCACTTTACCAACTGAGTCATGCTCCTCCCGTAAAATAGTATTTATTTCAGTTGTAGAGTGTTGTAGCATCCCTTAAATTTTGCTTATCATGGCATGACCCTGTCAACCCATTTCACAGATGAGAACAAGCAAGAAGTCATCATCAAAGTAAAGGACAACTGCCCTCCCCAGGTCCTGCAGAATCTATATATCCTTTAGCATCGTTGAGCAATTCTGCCTCTTGGGTCAGGGGCCTGATGCGAGGTCTTCCATATAGAGATAGGTGGGAGGGGGACTCACCAGAAAGGTGGCGATGGCTGCCCCGGTCAGAAAGCCAGCCAGCACGTCTGACCAGTGGTTGCGATACTCTGCCACGCGGACCACGCCCACCAGGAAGGCGGGGCACAGCAGGGCCAGGCAGAGAGAAGGCTTTACCAGGCGGGAGCCCTTCACGCGGAATACTAGGGTCACGTACATCTGTGGGACCCGAACTGATCAGAAGATGAACCCAGGCCTTTCGGGTCAGAGCAATGGAGGCTTGAGGGAGTGGCCAGGGGCCTCCAGGGATGGGGCAGTGGCTCCAAAGCGGGGCGCCGTAGAGGTGGAGATGTGACCACACATGTATAGAGAGAAGGGTTCCTGGAATTGAGATGGCAGGGGAGGGACTCCAAGGGTTGCAGGGGTTCTGCATGCAGGTGGTGTGGCCAGAGCTCCAAAAAGGACAGGTGAGGGTCTACGGAACAGGCTTCCCCGTGATGGGGAAAGATGCTCGCTGCATTAAAGCAAGCACACAGAACCAAGGAGTAGAATCAGTACCAAAGGGTCATGTCTGGGAGCTCCAGAGCTCCTTGGAGCCTCATGGGGCCATAGAAGTGATCAGGAGGGAACATCAGTCATTCCAGAGGTCAGAAAAAGGAAAGAAGTCAAAGCAACAGAAGTGGGACTAGAGAAAGGGAAGGGACAGAATTAGATAAGACCAAAGCAACAAAGGGGAGGGGCGAGGGCTCCAGGAGGTGGAGTCAAAGCCCACAAACTTAGTTTCCTAGCCACCATCCAGGACCTGCAGTCTCTTAGCAACTTCAAGGGGAGGAGTCCCAAAAGGCAGAGTCCAGGACAATTCTGGACTGGGTAGTAGTGAGCTCTAGGGCTGGGAGTGTGTGGCTTCATGAAGGATTCAGCTCAATGGGCGTAGCCTTATTCCCAGAGCTCCTCCCCTTCCATCAAGCACCCCTTCCCACCTCCAGACCCCTAGCATCTACCCCAGGGCCTCACCGCAGTGTAGGTGACCGCGTAGGCGCACAGGGCCGCGTCCTTGCAGGGGAAGGCGCGGCGTGCAGCTGCCACCAGACTGGGGCTGCCTGCACAGGCGCTCTGGTCCGTGACGAAGCGGTCAGGCCCTGGCCGATCAGGAGATGGCGGTGGGCAGCCCAGGGCCGTGTAGTTGGGGCGACAGACAGACAGGAAATGAGGCGTGGGGTTACCGGTCACCACCTGTCCCGCATTTGCAAAGATGGTCGTGGTGAACAGGCCAAAAGAGTACACCCCTGGCGATGGGGAGAAAAGAGGTCATGTCCCTTCTACTGGATGCCCCACACAGTTCCATTAAGCTCCTTGTCTAGGTCTAAAATTAATTTTTAGGCCAGGCAGTGGTGGCGTACACCTTTGACCCTAGCACTCCGGAGGCAAAGACAGGTAGATGTCTGAGTTCGAGACAGGCCTGGTCTACAAAGTGAGTTCCAGGACAGCCAGGACTACACAGAGAAACCCTCTCTTGAAAAAACCAACATTTTTTTTTTTTACATTTATTTATTTGGGTTTTTGTCTATTTGTGTAGCCAATTATGCTGTGTGTGGAGGTCAGAGGATAGTCTGAGACATTTAGTTCTTTTCTTCTACCACATAACTCACACTGTCAGGCTTGGCTGCAAGCTCCTTTGCCCTCTGGCAATCACTGGTCTCAATTGTCTTGCTATTCTTAGGATGGCCGCTGAAGTCAATCTGGGACTCTATGATAACAGGTGCCACCATGGGCCCCTCACTATAGTATATATCTATAGTCTGTCTCTAAGAAATAAACTGTGTCAAGGGCAAGCCCTTCCTGATGCTATCACAACTATCCCGGGAACCCTCAACACCATTTCATCAGGAGTTTGGGACCTCCTAGGAAGACCCTGTTGAAGTTTCTGGGATTCCTCCTCTCTTTGCCCTTCTCTTCCTCTTATATTTGTTAAGAATTACATTTATTTCGGGTTAGAGAGATGACTCAGAGGTTTGGAGTGCTGGCTGCTCTTCCAGAGCACCCAGATTCAGTTCCCAGCACCCATGTGGCTGCTCACAACTGCCTATAACTCCAATTCCAGGGGTCTAACACCCTCACAGACATCTATGCAGGCAATAAACAAATAAATCCTTTAAAAACTTTAAAAGTTACATTTATTTGTTTGTATGCTTATGTGCATGGAGGTCAAAGGACAACTTGTGACAGACCTATGTATATATGTCTGTACTTCTAGCATATAGGGATTGGTAGCAGACAGAGAGCCCTTACCCATGAACCCTCTGATCAGCATGCCCCCACCCCAGGCAGAGTCTAGCTCTGTAACCTTGACTTGTCTTAAGCCTGATATATAGATCAGGCTGGAAGGGAACTTTCAGTCTAGCGTGAACTTTTTACTTATTTTTATTTTTGTGTATGTATATGTGCCTTCATGAGTTTATGTGCATCACAGGGATGCAGGTATGCATGGAGGCCAGAGAGTGTCAGATCCCCTGGAATTGGAGTCATAGGCAGCTGTGGGTGGTGGGACCTGAACCCTGGTCCTCTGCAAGAGCAACAAGCACTGTCAACCACAGAGCCATCTCCCCAGCCCCGACCAGAACTTCTGAGAGTTCAGATTATAGGAATATATGCCAGCCCACACAGCTTGCTTTATTATTATTATTATTATTTTAAGATAGTGACTCACTTTCCAGAATTGAGATCTTCCTAGCACAGCCTCCCAACTCCTAAGATTTCATTGTGACCAGAACACAGGCTTGCATTCTTCATGGGAACAAGTGTACATGCTTGTTGTGTTGGTCAAAGAACAATTCCTCTGACACCTTCACATTTGGAGACAGAGCTTCTCACAGGCTTAAAACTTTGCCAAATAGATAGCCAGATTGGATGATCTAAAGCTTCTAGAGGTTCACCTGTCTTCACCTCCCATCTTACCATATCTGAGACAACAAATGTGTCCCAATCCTGGCTCTTAAAAGATTTTCTTGAGCTGGAGAGATAGCTCGGTAATTAAGAGAACTGGCTGCCCTTCCAGAGGACCCAGGTTCAATTCTTAGCCCTAATATGACAGCTTACAACTGTCTGTAACTCCAGTTCCAGGGGATCCAACACCCTCACACAGACATATATGCAAGCAAAACACCAATATACATAAAATAAAAATAGTTAGGTTGTAAAAAAAATAAGCTGGGTGGTAGTGGCACAGACCTTTAATGCCAGCACTCAGGAGGCAAAGGCAAGCTGATCTCTGTGAATTTGAGGCCAGCCTGATCTACAAAGTTCCAGGACAGTCAGGGCTACACAGAGAAACCCTGTCTCAATTTTACATACATACATATATATGTATGTATGTATGTATGTATATGTATAAATATACATATATACACACATATGATTTTTTAAATCATGTATGTTGTGCATGTCTGTGTCTGTGTGTGGACACACGTACCTATGTGTATGTATATGCATGCATAAATGTGTCTGTGTGTGTGTATGTCTGTGTCTATGTGTAATGTATGTCTGGGTATGTATGCCTGTATCTATGTGTGGGCGCATGCATGTATCTGTGTGTGTTTGTATGTGAATGCATCTATATGTGTGCATGCATGCGTGTTTGTGTGCACACCTGCATTTATGTATGAGTTTGCATGTATGTGTATGTATGTATATACCACATCTTGAGTCAGAGGACAACTCAGGAATTGCTTCTTTCTTTCCTTTGACCATTTGGGTCTGGATAATCAAATTCTAGTCAAGCTCGGTGACAAGGACCTGTACTCACTGATCCATAAGGTGAACTTGTCCCTTTGTTGCTGAACTCACCTCCCTCCCCAAGATTTTGACTAACCCCAGGCTGCATCTCTCACCCAGGAAACGGACCAGCCTCCGAAGTGGGGGACTGAAGCGGCAGCAGGCCCCGGACACAATGGTGCTCTCTCCACTGACAGGGCTGGCAGAGGGTGGAGCAGGGAAGAAGGCCCGTGCCAGCTCCCCCAGCAGGATCTGTAGACAAGACTAAGATAGGTCTTCCTGGCCAGCAAGGACAGGGCTTTCCCCAGCCCCCATCTGGCCTCTCTGCCTTCTGGGAGTTTGTACTCCCTGGCATCCATCCAAACTGGGTGGCCCACACTATCTCACCGTGAGGGTGGGCCCAGCAGTGACCAGGGCATAGATGAGGGCTGGAGGAGCTCGGCTGGCAGCCTCGGGCCCGGGGTATGGCTTGGCATAAGCGCTGTCATAGCAGAAGAAGCCTTGGGTGTGCACAGGGAAGGTGTCCGTGAACTCCAGGCGGTATGCAAGCAGGATTACAATGCCCAGCAACACAGACTGCAGCAGCATCAGGGCCAGAGAGAGGCAAAGAGAGACAGGAGGTCACAGGCCATGAGGCCACGGAGAGAGAGAAACAGGGAAATGGAGATAGATGGAGGGAAATGAAGACAAAAGGAAAGGAGGAAGGAAATAATGTATTTTTACCTTCCCAACAACTGTAGCTATGATTCTATTTTTTTTTTTTTCCTGGTGCCTTTTTGTTCTGTCTTGTGGGTTGTTTTGTTTTTGTTTTTTGAGGCAAGGCCTCATGTAATCCAAAGTTTACTTAGAACTCACTATAGAATTGGAATTGGGGAAAACTCCTGATCCTCCAGCCTCCATCTCCCGTAATGGGGCTATAGTTGTAGGTCAGTACACCTTATTTAGTGCTAGGGATGGAGCCTAGGGCTCCATGCAAGCTAGGCAAGTCTCTACCAATTGAGCCACATCCTCAACCCATTTTTAATTTACTTACTATTTTCTAGATGGTCTCATTGTGTATCTCAAGCTGGCATGGAAATCATTAGGTTTTTTTGTTGCTGTTTTCATTGTTTTGAAGCAGGGTCTTACTATGTAGCTCTGGTGTCCTGGAACTCACTCTGTGGATCAGGCTGGACTGGAATTCACAGAGATCTGCCTGCCTCTGCCTCCTGAGTTCTCAGATTAAAGATGTGCACCACACCTCGCTTGTTTGATTTGAGACGGGATTTCACTTCATAGTCTTGGCTGGCCTGAAACTTCCCATGTCTATGGAATAGCCTCGAATTTGTAGACATTCTCCTGCCTCTGCCTCCTGAATGTTAGGATTACAAGTTTGCATTACAGTGGCTGTGCCTTGCAATTTCTTTTCTCTTTCTGTCTTTATCTTTTTTTGAGACAGAGTCTCATGTAGCCCAGGCTTGCCTTGACTTCCCTGAAATCCTTCTTCAGCCTCTCAATGCTGAGGTGCATGTGCCACATATGTGCCATCATGCCCTATTAATTATACCCATTTTAGATGTGAAGAAACTGAGGCTCAGGCATGCAAAGTCCTGAAGTGTGAATGGATCATGGCAGAAGCGGGCTAGAACCCAGGAGAAACACATCTGATCCTAACCCTGTCACCACATCTCAAGCGAAAAAGAGCAGAGCTAAAGTTTTGAGGTAACAGGGTGTGAGAAGGCACAGAGGGAGATGGTAGGACCAGATTGGAGCCAGGGATTTGGGAAAATGATTATGGGAAAGGGCTGGGCCAGGAGCAGGGAGATAGCTGGGCAAGGATGAAGGGAGGAGACAGGAATCAGGTACTCTTTCTCAGAGTAGCTCTGAGGTCCTCACCTCCACGAAGACAAAGCAGGGGATGATGGAGAAACTGCGCTTCAGGTGAGGTCTCCCTCCAGCCATGGTGAAGGCTAGGCCTGTGGAGGGGGAGGGAAAGGGAACTCCAGGGCAGGGCATATGCCTGCACAAGGCTCTGTGGAGTTCCGAGTCTGCTCTTTAACCTGGTTCCCACCCTGCTGGCCCTGCCTGCTGGAATCCCTGCCTCCTCTAACATCAGGCTTTGACTCCTACCAGAGACTTTAAGTTACAATTACTGTAATGTGTGTGTACACATGTGCCACATCCTTTGTGTGGAGGTCAGAGGGCAGCCTGCAGGAGTTGGTTCTTTCATGTAACCCGGAAGATTCTACAGTGGTCTCTTCTCTCTACTTTCTATAACATTCTAATCAGATCACATACCTTTTAGGGGAACCCCTAATCAGTCTCCAGAGGAGACCCCTCCAGCTTTAGAGGAGGGTGCCCTTCTCTTTGGTACCCACCTTAATCATATTTTAGGGAATTCCATCTTCTGGGAAAGAGAGGGCTTCCTGCCCTCTCGCCCACTCTGGGCCCTTCCTCCTAATCCCTTCACCATGGCCTCCACCCACCCCTATGGCTGATAGCCAGACCCTCCCTCTCTCCCAGCTGCTTCCCCTTCTGCCCTCCCCCTCCCAGCCTCTCTGCCCAGCTGCCTCCCCCAGTCTCTTTTCATCAACCCTTACATATAACTCTAACCCCCAAGGCTTCAGTAGCCAACACCTGCTCTCACCTGTGAAAGCACCCTAGGGCTTCCCACAGGCCTCCACCTTGACCACCACCACCTCACAGCCACTCCCGGAGGCTAGCAGGGCAAGGACACTCATCTCCATTGCACAGATGTGGAAACTGAGGCCCAGGCAGGCGAGGGAAGGTGCTGTGTGTCCAGGGCTCCATTGAGGCCTACTCCAGAGTGACATATTGGAGTGAGGGTCACCACAGGTTCCAGATATCTGTACAGAGTCACTCACATGGTACTCCCACAAGATACAACCCAGCCACGGCTTCCATCCCAAACTCTATCAGAGGGACACCTCAGAATATGACATTCATCTATTCCACCGCAAGATCCAAGCATACTGTGTGGGGTGCCTATTTCATGCTGGGCAAACCAGATTTGCTCATTCACACAGCCCTCAGTACTGCTAAACACACACACACACACACACAGAGTTTGCATATGGCCTGTCATAGACACCCACATGGATGGAACATACCCCCTCAAATACACAGCCAGAGAGACATCCCAGCCCCCTACAAACCCTTACCCTGATACAGCCACCACCATAGACTCAAGGCTGCCAACACACTTAAGGGTCACAGCACAGTCACTCTACACAATGAGAGTCACAGAACGGGTCAGAGTCACACCCCCCAGTTACAAGGCACTCATGACAGTCACACACATGAACACTCTCAAGTCATAGAGACAGTGTGCCTGCCATCCACAACCTCAGCCACATGGGCATGCAGGGTTATGTGACTTGGACTTGCAGCGACATACATACAAAAGGCACATAAGATCAGACACCTGCCAGATTGCAAAACAGCCACACACACCATCAGAAGGAACATAACAGAAACCACAAAATGACAGCCAGATCACACAGTGAGACACCTAGACACACACACAGTGCAAGCAGTCACACAGATACCCTAAGGAACCCAGTTCACTTGATGACTCTCTCCCTCTCTCTCTCTCTCACACACACACACACACAATCAGCGGACACACCCGAACCCATCACAGCCAGAGAGCCACACAACCAGTTACACAACCACACACCAACACGGGGTAGCCACACCATCATTCACCCACAACCACCCTCGCAGCAGTGTGACCTGGCTACAGAGGCCCCTGGGGCCCCTCTCCAGATCCCCCTCCCCCAACCCCATCCAAAGCCCGAAATCTCCGCCTCCCCTCCCCCAGCTACCCTCCCCCCAAAATGGACTCGCAGGGAACGTATTGGAAGGACCCACGTCCCCGGTCTGGACCTGCGTGCCCGGGCCGGGCAGCCCCCGGGTTGAGAAGAAGAGGCGCCCACGCTCCTCCCTCACCCTGTCTAGGCCACCTCTCCGTCTAGACGGTCCCGGCACCGCAGGACAGTCACAGAGATCGCTGGTCAGGCAGGCGGATGCGGAGACAGAGAAGTCTGGACAGCCGTGATTGCAGCTCCGCGCAGACTCCGTTGCTGAGGCAGGGGCGGGACCACAGAGAGTCTTATTTGCATAACCCAGTGGGGCGGAGAAACGGGATGTTCATTTGCATAACTCATGAGGGCTGGGCCACAGCGTCGTGTAGCCAGTTGGGCGGGGACATTAGTTTATTTGCATGACATTATGGGTGGAAAGATGTTTAGAGTGTTAGGGAGGAGCTATACAACACTTATTTGCATAACTCAATGAAGTAGGCAATGATTGGATAGAGATGGGTGGGGTAGGCTGAGGAAAGAGCTCAGCCTCTTCAAAGGACACTCTATGCCACTCCTCTCCCCATTTGGGCATCCCAAAAGACTATCTGGATAACCAGGTCCATTTTTGTGTGTCTCATGCCCCCAAGCTGGTCTCCAGTTCTCTTTGCAGTCAAGGCTGGCCTCCTTTAGTGCGGGAATTTTAGGCCTATTCCACCACATCTGGTTTGTATGGTGTTGGGGTTGGAACTCAAGGCTTCCTGTATGCTAAGCAAGTGCTGTCCTGATTTTGTGTTTTTAAATTACATATATTTATTGAGGTGTGTGCCATGTTTTGTGTGCATTTAGAGATTGGAGGACAACTTGCATAAGTTGGGTTTCTCCTACCATTATAAGGGTCCCTGGGATCAAACTCAGGCCTCCAGACTTGGTGTCAAGTGCCTTACCCACTGAGCCATTTGGCTTTTCACTTCGGTGTTTTTGAGACAAAGTCTCTTCTAGCCCAGGCTGGTCTCATACACTCTGCATTAACTTTGAACAGATAAGCCTATGCCCATCTACCTTCCAAATGGTGCATTACATGCCCAACTGACACACCCTAAATTTTGTCTCACTGTCCTAACTAGACCCACACATCCTCAGAAGTACCCTAGTCTCTGCATCCTATGAGACACCAAGGAGTTAGCTGGGGGGTGGCATGGGGAAGACCCCATATTCTTGAACCAGCAGATGCAAAAGTCCAGGATGGAGGAAGGTCTCAGCTAGTTTATTTTCTCTCTGGAGGGGTCTTCAGGGCAAGCAGTCCCAGCTGCTCAAGCTATAGGGAGAGAAGGTAGGTCATGGTCTGGCTTTAACCAGGAGAACTCAGGGTTGCCAGACAAGGACCAGATGCTCAGACAGAGTGCCAGCCTCAAGGCTTTGGGAATCACAAGGGGGCCAGATGGTAAGGAATGGAGAGGGGCGGAGGAGGGTCTGTACCAGGAGGGTAGGATCCACTCTTGCTGACAGGTGTCTCCCAGTCAGAATCGGAGTCCCAGGAGGGGTACTGAGAACTCAGGCACTGGTGTCCCTTGTGGCCTGTGGGAAAGACATGCCATCCTGGCTCTTCAGACCCTGAATATGACCCTCTAGCAACTTCAGAATATGGACTCTGCCTTCCTTGAGATGAAACTACACAAATTCATGATCCAGACACCCACATCCCTTGTGTGACCCAAAGTAGTACCCACCCACACACATGTAAATAAAATAAAATACTTTTTTTGTTTGTTTTTTTTTTTTTTTTTTTTTCCGAGACAGGCTTTGGAGCCTGTCCTGGAACTAGCTCTTGTGGACCAGGCTGGTCTCAAATTCACAGAGATTCGCCTGCCTCTGCCTCCCAAGTGCTGGGATTAAGGGTGTGTGCCACCAACCCCGATAATAAAATATCATCTTTTTAAAAATCCCATAGAGCAGGAATAGTGGCATATATCTGTAATCCCTGAGGAGCTAGAAACAGGAGGATCAGAAGTTCAAGGTTATCCTTGGCTACATAGAGAGTTTAACTTAGTCTGCACTATGTGAGACTCTATTTAAAAATACCAAGAGATTAAAACAAAAATCTCACAAATCCTAAATGTGACCCCAACCATGTCCTGCATGAAATGGTCTTTGTGGTCAGGCTGGCCTTGAGCTTGAGGTCCTCTGTGTTCACCTACCCCACAATTTCTGGGATTATAGGCCTTCAAAATCTCAACCAGTCAAAACTACCCAATGTAGCCTTGGAACAAGACCCAAGCCAATGTGACCCTCAGAAGGCCTCTGAAGGAAATGACCTCCCCACCACATCCCCATTACTCTCAACCCCTCACCCCTGAGACTGGAGGCCCTGGGCCTGGTGCCCACAGACAAGGCAAGACAGTCGATGGAGCTCTGCAGACGGTGGACAGCAGACCTGTGGGGAGACAGAGAGACGGGCCCCAAGAGACACTGGGGTATCCAGGGTACCCCAGAATTGGAGCTAGGGCAAGGGAGGCCGTGAAGAGTGTGATTCCTAGGAAAAGTAGGTAGGACTAGAACAGGTTCTGTTCCAGATGCAGCATGTGGGGGAGGGGCAGGTTAGAGGAAGGCTGGGGTCAGAGGTCAGATTGGAGGCTGGCCTCACCATATATCACTCAGCTCCCTCTGTAAGTCATCCTTCCAGCAGCTACTGCCTTCTGCTGGTACCTCTTCAGCCTCTGGCCATGAAGATGGCTCATAAGCTTGCTGCTTCATCTTGGTCAGAACCTGAGGTTCAGGAGGGGGTTGGGAGAGCCAGCAATTAGACACACAAGAAGTGATGACCAAAAAGGAAAGGTGATCAAGATGTAGCACGTTTATTCTCGGCTGTATCGAGAGCATGGAACCCTCAACAAACACAACTTTCTGATGTGGGGATCGCAGCTATTACACACATTATATGGAGAGTCAAATCGAGGCCTGGAAAGAAAGTGATTTACCCATAATAACATAACACTAAATGGCAGAGCTGGGATTTGAATTCTGCCTCCTCCCATCTGCCTCACGTCTTGCAGGCCCTCATTTTCTCCGCTTACCTTCCGGCATTTCACCTGTGTTTTCTGCATCTTCTGGATATTCAAGAGGTTCTCTGAGATCTCATCCTCCTGGGCCTCTGTTGGGGACAGCGCTCAGTGGACAGAGGAAACAGAGGAGCCCCACTCCTTCAAGGACGCGGGCTTTCAGACACTCACGGAGCTTCTGATAGACGAAAGTCACTTCTTCCCTCACCAGCTCCAGTTCCTCCCACAGAAACTTCTTGCTGAGGGCAGAAAGGAGCCTAGACCCACATTCCCAGCCCATTTCCCAGGCCGCCCACACCCCCATCTGCCCAGCCCACTTACAGCAACAGGCTCCTCCCACTGCCCTAGCTCCTTCCAGGGTATCAGGCTCCACCCACACCACCTGAGGCCTCTCCAACAGCCTGAGAAGCTGCCCGCAGTTCGAGGCTCCACCCAGCCCCAGGCTCCGCCCACAGTCCTGGGGTTCAAGCTCTCACCTCCCATTCTACTTTCTCCTTCCTACCTGGATCTTCCCAGCCTTGTTCTCTCCTGATTTCCACTCTCCAGCCTCTCCACCTCCCTCAGTCTTCTGATGCCCTACCTCCTTCCCCAACCCATCTCCAGCTTGCTGTCTCCCTCACCTAGGTCCCTTAGACTCAACACCCTCTCCCTTGCCACCATTGTCCTCTGGAACAACCTGTCCTGTTCCCCGGTCGTGTCCCCAAGCCGGAATTCCACTCTCTGATCCATTAAGTTCCCTCAATGGTGGCCTGCTTTCTTGCAACTTCCACCTCCTGTCCACACCCACCTGTCCCGGATCTCCTGGGCCAATAGCTGCAGGCAGCGAGTAGTACGGGCTTGTTGGAGCTCCTCACTGTCCCTCAGTGTCTTCTGCAATCCCTGCAGGCCTTGGGCCAGGGCCCCATAAAGTTCCTGCTGACTCTGGTCTGCATCCCACTTACGGCCTTCCTTCTCTCCTTGGCGGCTTGTGGGGCTCAGCACTTCTGTAGAGAGGGTGGGAGAGCCTTGACTTTATTTTTGTGTGTGGCAGCACATGTATGTACATGTTCACGTTTTCACAGGTGTGTGTACAGGTACACAGACATGTGGATGTGGGTGGAGGAAGGAAGGTCCCAGGTCAAAACTGGGTGCCGTCCTCAATTCTTCTCCACCTTATCTTTTGAGATTGGGTCTCTCACTGTACCTGGAGCTCAAAGATTGGGTAGCCTGGCTGGCCAGGGAGCCCCAGGATTCCTCCTATCTCCACCTCCACAGAACTGGGATTGCAAGTGTGCCCCACTAAGACCAGCTTCTTCTTCTTCTTCTTTTTTTTAACTTGAAATCTGGATATGAACTCAGGTCCTCATCCTCCATGGCAAGCATTTTAGTAACAGAGCCATCTTCCCAGCCCTGGAACTTCTTTACTTTCTAAGATTGTGTATTTCTATTTTATGTGGTTTATGTTTCAGAGGTGTTTTACTTGGTGCCCATGGAGGCCAGAAGAGTATGTCTTATCCCCTGGAATTGATATTACAGAGGGTTATGAGCCACCATATGACACTGGGAACACACCCTGGGTCTTCTGCAAAAGCAGCTAGTGCTCTTAACTGACAAGCCATCTCTCAGCCCCTGGGCTCAGTTTACTTTTGTTTCCCAGACAGATCTCTATCGAAGGCTGACTTTGACTAATTAGATGATGATAACTGTGAATTCCTAACCCTCCTGCTTCTATCTCCTGAGTGCTGGGATCACAGGCATGCACCACCTGGACCTGTTTTATGTTGGGGACCATCACCATCCTCACAACCTCAGGTCTCTGAGATAGAAAATCACTGCCTCTTAAGAAATAAACAGGATGTTCAGCAGAACATCCAAGGTACAGGCTTTCGGTTTCACAGCCAGTCAAAGAATATAGCTCAGGGCTATCTCTCCTGCTGCAATTAACAGCCAATACAGGTCAGCTAAACAACTTAGGGCATTCCTTCTACTGACCTTCTCACTCTGCCTACGTGCCAGTGCACATGCCCTGGTTATGTGCAACCCCCCCCCCCCACATACACACACATCCTGCCCACGGTCCTATATAAGCCTCCCCTGAGAAGATAAAATTTGTCACCTTGATCAGAATACTGTCTTGCTGTCCATTCTTTATCTCCCTTGCCCCCCATTTTCTTCTGGCTGTTCCCTGGTTTGTCATTGACTGCCCTGAGGGTCGGGGCAGTTTTATTCCATGATGGAGGTGGAATCCAGGACTTCATGCATCCTATGCAAGTGCTCAGCCAAGTCCAGAAAGGTGGGAACCAGATGTGGGCCTGCCTGAGCCAGTCTTGACTTCAGCTTTCCCTGACTCTGTCTGACTGTGACCTAGAACTTACTTTTACTCATTTCAAACTTACTCAGACCTTGATTTCCATCTAATTCTTACCTTCAAGCTGCTGGATTTTGATCTGCTGTAGGCAGCTCTCCTTCTCCAGCAAGGTCACAGAGTGGTTCAGGAATTCGAAAGCCTGAGGAACAAGAGCAGGATGTGAGGCCCTGGAGTGTGGAGGAGGAGAACAGGGATGCAGAGGAGGTAGAGGGGCTCACCTTTGTCTGAGCTTGCAACTGGGTCTTGAGGGACTCTAGTTCACATCTCAAGAGCTTCTGAGAGTCAGGGATTAGCATGGTGTCCTTAACTGTGGGCAGTGGCAAGGGGGAGCCATGGCTGAGGTAAGATCAGGGCAGAGATGAGGGGTCAGAGGAGGGAGGGGGCATGTATAGAGCAGGGGACCTCCCTGAGCCTTGATACTGGAGAAGAAAGTGTGAGTAAGGGGCCTGCAAGATGGCTCTGTGGGTGAAGGTACTTGCCACCAAGACAGATGACCTGAGTTTGAACCCATGGCCCCACAGCATAGGAGAGAACCAACTCTGGTAAATTGTCCTCTGACCTTCAAATGTGTGCCTTGGTACACACACTGGCACATATACCCTCAAATACAGGAAGTAAATAAAAATAAAGGAAAAATTAATAGGGGCTAGAAACCCAAGTGCCTGCCCTCCAGTCTCATTAGGGAGAGTATGTTCACCTTTTACTTTCGAAGAGCCGGGCTCCAGGGACTTCTGGGAAAGAGGAGAAGAGGAGAATGGTGATGTATTCCCAGGTAGCTTACCTTGATGCAGGTTGGAGGGAAGGACAAGAGTAGTTCTCTTGAGTTCTGGTTAACCCTAACCAGGAATTCAGGCCAAACTGTGTCTAGGGGCATTCATCCACTGTCCCTATCCCCAAGATCATCATCTGCACATGTTCAGAAATGTACTTGTATGTCTCATCTCATATGTCTATGGCCCCTGGGTTGAACTTGACAGAAAGCAGATGCCAGGCTGTCCCTGGTTTGACCTTTCTCCTTAAGAGCACAAGACATTAATGACAGCAATGTCCATAGAGAACACCATCAGGACTTGACATACCACCACAAGCTGATGTTAAACACAATCAGCCACATGCACACAATTTTAGACACAAGTGTGAGTCTCACACACACAATCAGAAACCATGTAGATAAAAAACTAAGAAACACCACACACACACAGAGGGAGAGGGAGAGAGACGGAGAGAGAGAGAGAGAGAGAGAGAGAGAGAGAGAATTTAAAATATGGGTGAGACATTGTAGCACATGCCTTTAAACCCAGTGCTTAGGAGGCAGAGACAGGTGGATCTCTGTGAGCTTAAGGCTAGTCTGCTCTACCCAGTAAGTTCTAGACCAGCAAAGGGCTACACAATGTTTTTTGTTTGGTTGGTTAGTTTTGTTTAAAGAGTATATGCTTTTGAAGAAGACCCAAGTAGCCAGATTGGAAGGCTTACAACTACCTGAAGTTCAGCGCCAGGGACCTGATAACCTCTTCCAGACTTAAAGGGAATTGCAATCAAGTGAACATACACACACACACACCCCTTCAAAACCTTCAAAATATGAAAGTCAGACATATTGTCTCCGTCCTATAATCCTAGCATTCTGGATATGGATGCAGAAGAAATAGGAGTTCAAATCCAGCTTTGGCTACAGAGCAAGTTCAGGGTTGGCTTGGGCTACAAGAAACAGTCTAAAAAACAAGATACACAAACAGATTTCCTTCAATTCCTTTTTCCTCCCTCCAGGGGTGCTGTTCTAGGTGCTGAAACTGCGTGCAGCCCCTTCCCTATGCTCCACAGTGGTTCATACTGTGCATTTCTAGGTTAATGGAGGCTGGGGGGACAGGTGACCTTGGTTGTGCTGTGGTTCCTCTTCACAAGGTCCTGGTCATTATAATGTTCCTTGTGCAGGTCTGAGTTGGAATAGGAGGTTCCCTCATGAGGCTGAGGCGTTGAGTCCCACTCTGGCCTCCAGGCCACAGTCCTTGATGCTTGTTCTGAAGCAGCGTTCACGATCTCTGGCTCCAAGGTCCTGGACCAGCGAGTCATACAGTCCAAAGCCCTGTCTGAGGAGGACCCTAGTGGGAAAAGGTTTCCTTCAGGGACAAGTCATAGAAAGCTTGAAGTTATCAGCCCCTGCCAGCTCTCTGGCTGTCTGCCAGGCCCTCCAGGAAAACCGGTACTTGCCCCTCTTCCTGTTGGCAGGCCAAGATGTGATGGAGAGTGAAGGAGGCGAGCAGAGATGGGATACACTGAAATCAGGGTCCCGGGGTAGGCCGGCCAAAAGAGGGTCGCTGTAGACATGGGGATGGGAGGGGCTCTGAGACAAGTCTCTAACTCCCAGGCCTTTCATTTTAATTATTTATTGTTTTTGAGACAGAGTCTCATGTAACCCAGGCTGGCCTCCATCTCATTATGTAGCCTAGGATGACCCTCCAGCTTCTACCTCCCTAGAGCTAGGATGACAGGTATGTGTCACTACATACAGTTTATACAGTGCTGGGGATGGAACCCAGCTGCATGTTAGGCAAGTACTCTACCAACTGAGCCTCAGCCCTGGCCTCTTAACCCCTTTAGAGTCTCCCCTCAGAGATGTTTCAGCACAGAAACTTCTCAGGGTTGGCAGAAGTGGAAGTCAGATGAAAGGTAAATCCAATCATAGAGGTAAGGTTGGTTTGTGAGAACACAGACACCCCACACAAAGACATTAAGGCCTCGAAGGGCTGGTGAGAAGACGGAGTAAAGGACTCGCTGCCAAGCCTGACAACATGAATTGGATCCCCAGGAACCAACTTAAAAGTGGAAAGAGAGAACCAACTCCATAAACTGGACCTCTGATCTCTGCATGAGTGCCATGACATGTGCATACTTACACACCTCATGTACAAAGAAACAAAGTAGGGGGGGACTGGGAGGAGAGGAGGGAAGAGAAAATGTGATCGCTAGGGAAAAAATAAATTAATAAAAAGAAAGAAAGTAATCACAGGCCGTTAATCCTGGCACTTGGGAAGCAAAGGCAGGTAGATCTGTGTGGGTTCAAGGCCAGCCTGGTCTACATAGTGAGTTTCAGGTCAATCAGGGCTACATAGAAAGATCCTGACACACACACACACACACACACACACACACACACACACACACACACAGAGGGCTTGAGAATTGGTTTAGTAGCTGTTCTTCCAGTTCCCAGGTTCAATTGCCAGCACCCACATAGTGACCCCCAACCTTCTGTAACTCCAGTCCCAGAAGATCAGAGGATTTGATGCTCTCCTTTAAGTTCTACAAGCTCCAGATACAAAAGTAGTGCACAGACACACACGCAAGCAAATGTTAACACATAAAACAAGATTTAAAATCTGAAACAACAGCAGCAAAACCACATAGGACCAGATGTGGTGGTTCACCCTTTCAATCCCAGCACTCAGGGACCCTTGGGTTTCAAGACAACCTGGCCTACAAAGCTAGTTTCATCCAGGCAGGGTTTCACAGTGAGAATCTGTCTAGGGAAAGAAAAAAAATTGTCATACAATTATTATATCCACTTTACTGGGCTGTCCTGATAACACATTTGGTCCACTGCTTGGTTAAAAAAAAAAAAAAAAAAAAAAAAAAAATCTGTTCTAGAATGTCACCTGAGGACCACACATGCCCCAGAAGAGTTAGAGGGGGAAAGGAAAGAGGCATTTCAGAACTTCAACGAAGGCAGATCTCCAACCATGCCTGCCCTACCCCCACCTCAATTGATTCTTCCGACGTCCTCTTCTCCAGAGAATTCTTCGAGCGAGGGGGCGTGATCACTGGTATTAGCCCCGCTCCTGACCTGCCAATCTTACACCCCGCCAGTCTCCCAATCCCCTCTTACATCCCCCACCTACCACATACCACCTGTTCATGCTCTCCCATCAGGGACCACGAAGCCAGTCCCCAGCTATGACGCTGAAGTTTTGATCCCATGGGGACACCATCGCTGTAAAACGCAGGGAGGCCGCAGGTGGAGTCACAGAGAAGGGCGTGGTCTGCATTTAAGCCCCGCCCGCCCACTAGGGTCAGGCGCAGAACTTAATTGGCGCCTGAGCATCTTCGGTGTGACTGGATGAAGTTTGGAGAGGCGGGATGGCAGGATGATTCCGAAAGCCGACTGGGCAATCCCTAAGTGGGCGAGTCCAGAGGTGTCAGATGTGCAATCTTACTGGCTTCTGGCTGGCTGGGAGGTGGAGCAAGGCCTGTGGTGCGGAAGAAAATCCGGGAGGTGGCTGGAGAACCAGAACTGTACAGGAGCTGCCCCGGTTCGTTGTTCCCACCCCTGACTTCGGGTGCTCCAACGGTGGGGTCATGTAAAGGTTCTGGGGCTGCTTTGGGATGCTTCTATGATATCTTGGTTTTCTGGATGAGGGCTCTTGGTTGTCTTCAGAGCCAGGGTGATCCCTGAAGACCTAGGGATGCGAACTTGAGCTGCTGGGACTCAAGCTTTTGGGATTCTATAAGGAGAAGTTGATATTGGGGTCTAGAGAAAGCCTGAGATCTTTTGTTCAAGAATTTCGTTTGTTTTTGAGACAAAGTCTCATGTATCTCAGATTGGCCTCCAGCTCCTGATCCTGTCTATACTTCTTCGGTGCTGGAATGACAGAAAAGAGCCAATGCTTGTCTTATACAGAGCTGGAGCTGGAACACAGGGCTTCCTGCACTGGAGGCCAGCGCTCTGCCAGCTGAGTCACTTTCCCAGCTGAAGCCTAAGCTATTTGTTTGTTTTAAGATAGTCTCACCATATCTGATGCTGTCCTCAAATGCAGTGATTTTCCTGCATCACCCATATGTTGGGATTACAAGTGTGAGTCATCAGGCCAGCCTCTATGTTTTTAAATGCTTTTTGGAATGGAGCAGTGGCAGTCCCCTGTGTCAGTCTCCCAAGTGTTGGGATTTACAAGTGTGAGCTTCCACACTGGGCTGAGATTGCTTTGTTTATCATTACACACACACACACACACACACACACACACACACACTCACATGCACACTTTTTCTGCAAATGTTGGGAAGGGAGCGTGAGGCCAACACCAACCCAGTCTTCCATGTGAAAGCTACAATTCCAGCCCCGAGAGTGAGCTCAGATGAGTTGGCTGGGCTGAGGCTGTCCAGGGACTGCTTTGGGTGTTCACATTGCCATTTCCAGACTGTTTTCCCTGATCTCTTGTACCAGCATGAGGCTGGCCCTAAACATTCTCTGCCAGGTCTCAAAGATAGGGAGCAAAGGTTGAAGGTTAAGCTGCGTCACTGGTACCTCCTTCCCAGGGCCACAGGATGGAGGAAAGTGAGGATCCAGGAACCCTGATTAAAGTGGTCCACTTGCTGGTCTTGTCTGGTGCCTGGGGCATGCAGATGTGGGTGACCTTTGCCTCAGGTAGGGACCTCCAATCTGTTATTTAGGGTGGGAGCTGAATGGGAGGGGGACCTGGAAGTGTCCTGATGTGTGTTTGTGGCCCTCCAACCCCAGGCTTCCTGCTCTTCCGGAGCCTTCCTCGGCATACCTTCGGCCTAGTGCAGAGCAAGCTCTTCCCTGTCTACTTCCAAATCTCCTTGGGCTGTGCCCTCATCAACCTCTGCATCTTGGCTCCGCAGCGAGCCTGGATCCACCTCTCACTCTGGGAGGCCAGTCAGGTATGAGGGTTTGAGGGCCACCATTGTCTGCAGATTTGTCCTCAAGACTCCAGTGAGCACTTAGGAAGCCTTCATTTTATTTATTTTGTGTGTGTGTACATTCATGTGCACAATTGTGTAGAGACCAGGGGGGCCCATGTTTTGTCTTCCTCTTTCTACCTTATTTTTGTTCTTTTGAGACAGGGTCTCATTGTGTGACCCCTGTTATAGTGGAACTTACTCTACAGACCAGGCTGGCCTCAAGCTCACAGAGATCTGCCTGCCTCTCCCCCTGAGTGCTGGAATTAAAGGCGCTCACCACTCCACCTGGCTTTTGTTATTTGAGACAGGGTCTCTCATTGAACCTGAAGCTCACTAATTTGGTTAGACAAGCAATCTCCAGGGATCCTTCTATCTCTGTCTCCCCAGCACTGAGATTACAGACATGAGCCACTGTGCCTGTCTTTTTAACATGGGTGTTGTGGGATTGAACTCAGGTCTTCATGCTTGTGTGGCAAACACTGCTGATTCCATCTTCCCAGCCCCTTATTTGATGTTATTTTTCACAGTGCTGGGGATGAAACCCAGAGCCTTGCACATGCTAGGCATGCGCTCTATAGGTGCATTGTCTTGTCCTATATGGGTAGTGGTGTTGTTATTCCGAGACAGGGCTTTGAACTCAGTATGTGGAAGATGAGTTTGAACTTCTGGTCCTCCTGCCTCCTGAAATCACAGGCATGTTCTACCACACACAGACAGCCTACCAACTCAGACATCACCAACCCTCCAGTGGAAACATTTTTCTATTATTATTATTATTTTCTTTTTCTTTTGTTCTTTTTTTAAACAGGGTTTCTCTGTGTAGCCCTGGCTGTCCTGGAACTCACTCTGTATACCAGGCTGGCCTTGAACTCAGAAATCCACCTGCCTCTGCCTCCTGAGTGCTAGGATTAAAAGTGTACATTACCACTGCCCAGCTTTTACTGTTTTTCATTTGTTTATTGTCTGTGTGTAGGTATGTGCATGTATGTGTAGGTACCCTCAGAGACCAGAGGTGACAAATTCCCTTAGAACTGTAATTATAGACAGCTATGAGCTTCTCAAAGTAGGTGTTGGGAACTGAATTCTGTCCTCTGCAAGAGCAGTATGCTCTTTTAATTGCCATCTCTACATTCCCAAAGGTGTAGCCCAGGCTGGCCTCAAAATTGTGATTCTCCTGTTTCTACTTTTCAGGATATCCTGGTTTGTATCACTACAACTAGCTCAAGTGACATTATTTTAAAAGGGGAAATGAATTGCCTCTTATTTCTGGTAAAGACAAAGCTGGTCACTGGGTGTCCCTGAACAGTACATACAAGCCTGCATAGCTACCCCCTGGCAGCCCTCTCTGTATACAGCCTTATCTTCCCCATTGGCTCCTATTTCCTCTCTGTCCAATAGCTGGGCCTCCTGCCAAACTGGAGTGACTCAGCTGAGCTGAGGTTCTGACCTGAGTTCATTGTGCAAAAACTAGCCAGACTGGGAATTTGGGTTTCCCCACTCCCATCTACACATTCCCTCAGCCACAATGTAAGAGACAATTCTTGCAGTTCAGATTTCCTCATTTTTCCAAGCCTCTGCTCTTGAAGTTTTCAGATGTGGGCAGGTTGAGACTTGCTAGGTGTATCAAGAGTCATCTCTCAGTCTGGTGTGGTGGTACACACACCACACACTCATACACACACTCATCACCCCAGGATGGGGGAGGATGAGCCAGGGAGATTGCACAAGTTCAAGGCCAGCCCTGGCTACAGAGTGAGTTCCACTCCAGCCCAGGCAACTTAGTGAGACCTTGCCTCAAAGTGAAAAGAGCAGAGGCTGGGGGATAACTTGGGCAGAAAAGTGCTTCCTCCACAAACATGGGGACCTGAGTTTGAATCTTCAGCATCCATTCACACACCAAACAGAGGAGTCACCCGACATAGGGAGGTGGTGGGAATCGGGTGGAGACAGGCCATGAAGCTTATTGGCCAACCAGTCAGTCCAGCTGAATGAGGGAGTTCCAGGATCAACAAGAGACACCATCTCAAAAACCAAAGTGGATGGTTTAGCAGCAAATGCCTTTACTACCAATCCTGTGGCAATCTGAGTTGGGTCCCTAAGGATCTACAAGAAGGAAGGAGAGAAGTGACACCAGTCTGCACATAAACACCAAGGCATGTTATTACACACACACACACACACACACACACACACACACACACACACACGTAAATGCAATAGATTGTTTTGTTTTGTTTTTTAAGAAAAGGGGCTAAGTGGTGGTGACACAGGCCTTTAATCCTAGCACAGGGAGGCAGATCTCTGAGGTCAAGGACAGCCTGGTCTACAGAGTGAGTTCCAGGATGGATGGGGTAAGAAACCACACCCCCATCCCCCCAAAAATGGAAAAGCACAAAGGCAAGCTCTGGCCTCCACAGAAACACACATGTGCATCTGCAAACATATGTGCATAGACATGAACAAGTATACATACCACATATGCGCACAAATGAAAGAGCTCATAGGCAGAACACTTACCTTGTGACTAAGGCTTGAAGATCCATCCTATGCACTGCAAAGAACACGTTTTGTTTTGAACAAGAGGTTTTGGTGTTCAAGGAACAGCAGGCGAGCAGACTGTGCCCTGGGCCCAGGGAACATAAGAGAAAAAGCCATAGGTTCTTTCCTAGGGATTGCTACTTCAGGGTTCCCAGTCTGGGTGCAGGAACTCTCTAGGCTATGAGGATGTAGGCATCCCCTCTCTTGGGTCCCTCTATCCTCTCAGCCCCTCACCTTGCCTCCCCATCACTGCCCTCAGCTTGCTCTGCTGTTCTTGAGCCTCGCACTGTCCACCATCAACGCACATTGGCTAGAGGCCCGTACCACGGCTGTCATGTGGGCTCTGCAGACTGTGGAGAAAGATCAAGGCCTGGGGACAGAGGTGCCAGGCAGCCACCAGGGCCCTGACCCCTACCGCCAGCTGCGGGAGAAGGACCCCAAGTACAATGCTCTCCGCCAGAAATTCTTCTACTACCATGGCCTGTCTTCTCTCTGCAACCTGGGCTGCCTGCTGAGCAATGGGCTCTGCCTTGCTGGCCTTGCTTTGGGGCTCCAGAGCCTCTAATGTGGGCCCTGTGTCCCAATAAATGCTTCTTTGGGGATGGCTGTGGTCATTTTTCCACCCTGAGAGAAACCAGGTGTGGTGTGTGTGTGTGTGTGTGTGTGTGTGTGTGTGTGTGTGTCTAGCACTCAGAGTCTTAAGTTTCCATTCCTGTAGCGTGATGCTTCCCTAATAATGACCAGTTATTACCTGCTGTATACCTGGCCTTACTGTGTGTTATTGCAGTGACAAGCAGGTTACCAGCTCTCAGGCACAATCGTATTTCACATCCTACTGACATTGTAACTGGCATTGTGACTTATTTTGGCTGATGAGACGTGAGCAGAAGTGGCATGTGTTTACAAGACAGGAAAGAACTTGTTTCATCAATCCTGAGATGTGAATCTGGGCGAGTGGTACCCTGGAGACTTTGGGGGCTGCTTGTTTCTGAGAGTAACTCAGTTCTAGCTAATGCACCCACCTCAATTCATATGCATTGGAGCTTTGGAGACAGCTGTTCCCTTAAGTTCTGTGTGAGCAGAGAAGTTCAAGTTCCCCCCTCTCTCGCTCCCTCTCCCTTTCTCCCTCTCTCTTCCCTCTCTCTTCTCTCTCCCTCTCTTCTTCCCTCTCTCCTCTCTTTCCTCTCCCTCCCTCCCTCTCTCTCTCTCTCTCTCTGTGTGTGTGTGTGTGTGTGTGTGTGTGCATGTGTCTATGTGTGGTCCAGGTTGGCCTGAAACTCATGACAACTGCCTCAGCTTCTCATGTGCTAAGATTACATGTGTGAGGCACATCAGTCTGTATATTTTTGTTTTGAGACAGGTTCTCACTATGTAGTCAATCTGACTTGAAACTTACTATGTGGCTCAGACTAGCCCTAAATTTATGGCAGTCTTGCCCCAGCTTCCCAAGTACTAGTTATACATGCACACCATCTCACCTACATATACACACACTTTTGACACAGGGTCTTCTATAGCCTAGCCTGGCTTTAAACTTATACACCTGAATATGAACTTCAACTCCCAACGCTTTACCTTCCTCCGCCTCCCAAATGCTGGGATTACAGGTAAGCCACCATGCCTGAATTTCTTTTCTTTTTTTTTATATGTATTTATTAAATGTGTGTTATGTATGTGGAAGTCAGAGAACAACTTGTGGGAACTGGTTTTCCTTCTATGCTATAGGTCCCTGGAACCCTTGAGTCATCCTAGTGGCAAGTGCCCTTAGCCACTCATCCATTTTGATGGCCTCTCTATATTATTTTGAATTCCAGACCTTGCTGTGTGACCTCAGAGAAATATCTGCCTTTCTTTGATCCTTAGTTTTCTCATTTCAAAAATGTGTTTTAAGTACAGGAGCCCTGGAGAGTATTAACAGAGTAATCCAGCACCCCTTAGAGCAATGTGGGACCCGAGTGTGCCTGACATTCCTTAAGCCCTGCTCCTTCACTCCCAGCGCTGAAAAGAAAATGGGGGATGGTGAAGAGTGCTTGCTTAGTATTCACGAAGGCTTAGGCTCCTTTCCAGAACCACCTAAATTACACATGTTTTTTGCACACCTCCAATCCCAGACCTTGAGAGGTGGAGGCAGGAGGGTCAGTTTATTATTTATTCTTGACTACATAATGAGTTTCAGGCAAATGAACTAAATGAGACTTTGTCTGAAAAAAAATTTAATTTAAAATTTAATTTTACATGAGTGTTTTGCTTACAAGTATGTCTGTCCACTTGGTTCTTGTTGCCATACGAATAAGAAGGATGCAGGGTCATGTGCCCTGGAAATGGAATGGTTGCGAGCCACCATTTGAGTGCTGAGACTCAAACCCAGGTCCTCTGCAAGAACAAGTGCTTTTAAACACTGAACCATATCCCCAAAATTAAATAAATAAAAACAAAGACATGGCTACACACTTGACAGATGGGAAAACTGAGGTTCGGAGAGGTTAAATATGTCCTAGAAAGTGGAGGTGGGGCTAGAACCCAGCTGTTGAGGTTTTCCTCTTACCCAGAGTGCATAAAGACATTTTCTACTTGCATTTAGGGGAAAGGAGATGTATGTTTCTAGGCCCTTAAGGCCTTAAGGCCCTTCCCTGCTCCTGTCAGGACCCTCGCAATCTAGCCCCCACCCCACCCCTCTTGGGCCAGCCAACCGCGTGCTCTCATCTGATTGGCTCTGACTCAAGTCTTCGGGGAAAGCCCCTCCACGTTTATGCCCCGCCCATTTCTTGCTTGTCTGTGGATCGACTGCCGCCGTGGACACTTTACTACCAGGCCCACTCCCAAAATTCCCCGCCCACACTGGGCGCCTCTTAAGGCGGCCCCACACCTGTCAGGCTCCTCTCCGCCTGCAAGGCTTCACCCGCTCGGTTTAGGACTCTGGCTGTGTCCCTGTCCCCGACAGGCCACGCCTATCTCCCAGCTCCTTTTGCGGATTCCCCGCCCACCAGACCACGCCCACCTCCGGACGCCAACTCTCACGACAGCCCCGCCCCTACAGGCCCCACCCCCGCATCGCTCCTACTCTTACTGCAGCCTCGCCCCCTCCACCTGGGCGGAGCCGGCGCGGGATCCGGGTGTCAGTGCTGGCGGCGGTGGCTGCGGGGCGGGGGTCGCAGCCGTGTGCGGGCTGCAGCGACTTCGTGGGCGGATCCTGGTGTGCGAGGCGTGACCCGAGGTGAGGCCCAGAGCGAGTGCGCCAGCCCGCCCGCCGGTTCGCGCGTGCGCTATGACAGGGTTGGGCTGGGGTCCGCGCGAGGCGGGTCACACGCCCTAAGCGGCGCTGCTGGCTCTTTTAGGTTCCCCGTGCCCCACTGGCTTCGCGAGAGGCGGTGGCGAGGTGGGCGAGAAGCCCAGCCGGGGGCGAGCGAGGGCGCCATATGGTGAAGGGGGAGGCACCTGCTGGTGCATGCAGTGCAGTGACAGCTCCGATGCCAGCCTTGAGGACCGGAGACCCCTAGTCCTCCCGGAAGAGGAGCCGCGATGGGGCGGGGGCCAGGCTGAAGGCCCTGCCAAGCGGACGCCTTGCGGTCCCTCCTCAAACCCGTTCTCCCGGAACACAGGGTGGGGTTGGCATTTCCAAAGGGTTCTCTTTGGAAATGCACGGGGCAGAGAAACAGAAAACACCGAAAGCCTTTGAGAAAAACTTTAGCTTGGGCTTCCGAGAGCGACTTTAGACAGCTGAGGAAACTGAGCTTGGAAGGGCACCCTAGATTCGGATTTAACAGCATGCTGGAATGTGGGCAGATAGAAACAGCAAGCAATAGGGAGCTGGTGGGGTTTGTGATCACTGAGTGGCTAGGATAATTCTTTGGATTTGATGACTTTCATTCCTGTCTCTGTGGACCATGGCAGGGGTGAGTCAGCTTTGGCCAAGAAGGAGCCAGGCCCGTCCCCTTTGACAAATAATATGGCAATTACCCACTTGGAAGCCTAATTGGGGCTTTAAACTATGCTATATTTATAGAAATCTCCTTACCTTGGGGGCAGGGAAAGGGTTAAAGTGAACTTAAAGGGGAAAGGATAGGTATTCCAATGACAGGCACCAGCTAAGTCAATACCCAGTCCCTGATGGAGGGGGCCATGAGTCTAGTTGGCAGTCCCCCCCCTCCAGCTCACACCTTCACACCTGGCCATACCAGCTGCTTGTACTGGGCAAAGTTCACTCTATGGCCCTCACAACTTCCTCACCACCAGCCGCCCTGAGTTTTCACCCGTTACCTGACGTCTGACCTCAAGGCAAGAGATCAGAACCTTCTACTATAAAGGTTCAATTTTGCCTTTTTTTTTTTTTTTTTTTTTTTTTGAGACAGGTTCTTATGTAGCACAGTTTGGTATTAAATGTCCAATGGTAGCACAGGATGACCTTGAACTGCAGACTGTCCTGTTTCTACCTCCCTGGTGGTAGAATTATAGGTGTGCACATCACACCTGGTTTACAGGGTGCTGGGGCTGAAACCCGAAGGGAGAACTCCCCAGCCCTCAGTTTCACCTTTGTGTAAAGGTTAAATGGCAATCACAGCCTTCTTACTGCATCTTCCGTAAAAGGTGAGTGTTTTTCTGTTTTATGCACAGCTGTGTCCCTTCAGAGGCCAGTACCTGGTGCAGAGAAGGACTGAGCAAGGTTTGTGGATAAAACAATCATTAGGAAGATCATTTAGGGCTCCACACCTGTAATCCCAGTTCCAGAGGCAGGGAGCAGAGGTTTGAGGTTATTATCCACCACATGGGGAGTTTAAGGTCAGCCTGAGCTACATGAGACCTTTTCTAAAAGAATTTTTTAAAAAAAAGAAAAGAAGAAAAGAAAGAGGACTAACAGACGAGATGGCTCACCCGTTAGAGCAGGTATTGCTCTTTCAGAGAACCTGACTTAGATTCCTAAAGCACAGGTCAGGTAGCTCACAAACACCTGGCACTCCAGCCCAAGGTGAGGTACATACCTGTCACCCCCCCCCCCCATACATTTGACTGTAGAGGCAGGGGACTGGGAGTTAGAGGCCAGACTAGGCTCCAGAGTGAGACCTTGTTTCCTAAAATACAGGAAGAAAGAAACTAGGGCTAGAGGGTGGCTTTGCAGGCAAAGGCACTTGCTGCCCAGCCTGATGACCTGAGTTGGATCCCAGATGCACATGTTGGGAGAACTGACTCCTGAACCATTCAGTTGTTGGTACCTGCCCCTTGCAGGATTCCACTCTTTCCCATCAGGATTCCAGGCCTCCCCTTGAAGCAGATTCCACCAAGATGGCATCCGCTAGTGAGCCCCCTGCCAGCCCAAGGGATGCAGCCGACCAAAACTTTGACTACATGTTCAAACTGCTCTTGATCGGGAATAGCAGTGTGGGCAAGACCTCCTTCCTGTTCCGCTATGCTGATGATTCCTTCACCCCTGCCTTTGTGAGCACAGTGGGCATCGACTTCAAGGTCAAGACTGTCTACCGACATGACAAGAGGATCAAGCTGCAGATTTGGGTGGGTTGAGTGGCCCTGTAGAGAATTAAGGGGGCAGTCAATGGAGAGTCAGACCCTGAGTAACTAGTGAGGAAGAAGTTGGGGACCATCTTGGGGAGTCCCATGGGGGATGCCAGATTCAGAGCTATACCCTGTCCCTAGTCCAGCTGTTGATATCACCATGGCAACAAGAAGACCAGGTAACAGATCAAGATGGTGGTGGCCTAGGGCCCAGAAGGCTCTTCTCTGTGTCTGTTACAATGACGCTTGGAAAAAAGGTTAAAGTAGCTCATAAATGTGAGACAGCCCTGCACATTGGAGCCCATCCAGGGTAAAGCTGAGTCTGTTAATAGAGTTCTCCAGATGGCAACAACAGGCCTAGTGATACATGCCTGTAATGTCTCACATGAGGATGGACAGTGAAGACACAGTCATGCCTCCCTCATCAGACTGGGCCATGAGTGCAGACTGGTATTCCTCCAACCAGATTGGGTGTGAGGGCAGGACCATACCTCCCCATCAAATGGGGCCTGTGAAGGCAACACTACTCTTTTCCCAGATTGGACCACAAGGGCAGACCTGTGTCCCTTTCAGGGCCTTGTAGAGTCAGGTAGGGAGCAGATGGCTCCTAATTGACTCATTGCTATTTACCTAGGACACGGCAGGCCAGGAGCGCTACCGGACCATCACCACAGCCTACTACCGTGGAGCCATGGGCTTCCTACTCATGTATGACATTGCCAACCAGGAGTCCTTCACTGCTGTTCAGGACTGGTGAGTGCTGGCCAACCACTGACATGCCACAGGCCTTAGTTCTCCCCCTCCCCACCTTTAATCTCCCTCTCAATGTCCACAATTCCACAGGGCTACACAGATCAAGACCTATTCCTGGGACAATGCCCAGGTCATCCTTGTGGGGAACAAGTGTGACTTGGAGGATGAACGGGTCGTACCTGCTGAGGATGGCCAGAGACTCGCTGATGATCTTGGTTAGTGTTCAACCTGAGCCACAGGTCACATCTCCTTGCTCCTAACCCTCATCTTCACCCTTGAGTCCCAGTTCTACAGTGGTTAACTGAGGATCTGGTGGGGAGGGGGAATACCCAGTGTTGGGGCTGGGGAGATGGCTTGGTGGGTAAGTGAGTAAGAATGGTTTTGTGCAAATACGAGGCTCTGAGCTGTGGTCCCCAGCACCCACATAAAAGGCCAGACATGGACACACACACACACACACACACACACACACACACCTTCATGCCTATGACCCCAGCACTGTGGGGCTCTGAGACAAGGATTCCTGGGGCTTACTGGCTGCCTGGCTAGTTTAGGTCCAGTGAGAGATGCTGTCTCAAGGTAGTAAGTTGGGTGTGAGAAAGCAGGGCCCTGATGTCCTCCTCTGCCTCCAGAGTACTCATATACTCATATACCTGCACACACACAACACATGTATCCTAAGATAACCCTGATAGAACCAAAGAAAAAGACACTTAGAAGGCCTAGGCTGCATAGCAAGTTCTACATAGCAAGGCCACATAGTGAGAGTCTATCTAAAAAACAAAACAAAAACAAACACCCAAAAGTACAAAACAATAAAGAGAGAGAGAGAGAGAGAGAGAAGAGCCCAAACAAACAAAAGAAACAAAGAATTCAGATGTGTTGGGGGAAGTTGACATGTTGATAATAAAACATCATTATTTACCCAAGAAGACAGTAGAGTAGCAGGAATTTCAGCAAACTCCAAGAGCTAAGTTTGTGCATCCCATCATATTCACCATTGAGTCACTCAGCCCATGGCTTCTAAGCATTTACTCAGGGCTGAGCCTGTAGCTTAGCAATAGAGCCCCTGCCTAGAATCTCCCAATGAGGGGTCAGGGGAATGGCTCAGTGGTAGAGCCCCTGTCTCACCCTGGTTTCCAATCCTGCACCCCCAAAAAATAGCCCAATGTCTTCCTCACATATGCTTTGTATCAGGGACTGGGAGCTGCAGGAAGAATCATGCCTGCACCTGCCTTGGGCTGGTCCATCTAGTAGCAGAGAGGAGTATAAAGTGGAAATCAAGCACGTATCTAATCAGGATTACTTAATGCTAGAAACCAGGTGGATCTCACCCTGAGTTGGGGGCTGAGGGACAGCCTCACTTTGCACCATGCCGGCTTTGACCTTTCAGCAGTTCTTCTGCGACTTCTGAGTCCTAGGGTTACAAATGTGTACCGTCATGTCTAGCTAACACACACACCGAAAACAAAAGTCCTCATACTAAAAAAGTTACTTGCTTCGCAGCCAGGTGGTGGTGATGCAGGCCGTTAATCCCAGCACTTGGGAGACAAAGGCAGGTGGATCTCTGTGAGTTCAAAGCCAGCTTGATCTATAGAGCAAGGTCCAGGACAGCCAGGGCTACACAGAAACAAACAAATAAAAACACTTTTTAATTTTTAATGTCCCTTTAAAAATTATGTATGTGCCACAGTGCACAAGTGGATGTCAGAGGACAATTCCAGGAGTAGGTTTTTTCTTTCTGCTGTGTTTTCTAGGGATTGAACTAGTCACAGTCAGGCTTGCCTCTCTCTTTAAAACAGCGCCGGGGGTCAAACCCAGAGCCTTGTGTGGATCACACATTATATTTTTAAATTTTCTGACTTTGAAGCTCTGAAGTCAATGGTCTTCCTGCTTGGCCTCTGTAGTGCAGGGATCATGGGTTTGTACTGTGCCCTAATTTGATTATATTTGTATGTGCATGTGCAGGCCAGCAGACATGAGTGTCATCTTCAGGGGACATCCACCCTTTCTCTGGGACAGGGTCTCCCACTGGGCTAGGCTAGCTGGCCAGCAAGCTTCAGCACCTCCACCTCCCCAGCACTGGGATTACAAGCTTATTCTACCACACCTGGCTTTAAAAAAAAAAAAAAAATGAGTGCTGGGAATCTGAACCCAGGTCCTCATTCTTTTCCATCTGGGCCATCTCCATAGCCCCAGGACACTGTTTTAAATTTCACTTTTTAGTTTTATATTTTTTAGCAGGGGCAGATTTAGAGACAGGGTTTCTCTGTGTAGCCCTGGCTGTCCTGGAACTCATTCCGTAGACCAGGCTGGCCTTGAACTCAGAGATCCACCTGCCTCTGCCTTCTGAATCCTAGGATTAATGGTGTGTGCCCCCACTGCCTGGCTTCTCTTTTAAAGTGTGTATGGTGCTCTGCCTGCATGTGTATTAGTGCACCATTAGCACATTAGTCCCTGCAGAGGTCAGAAGAGGGCACCAGCTCCCTTGGGGCTGGAGTTAAAGATGGTTGTGAGTTGTTGTGTGGGTTCTGGGAATTGAACCCAGGTCCTCTGGAGGAACAACCAGTGCTCTTAATGGTTGACCTATCTCTCTAGCACCATTATTTATTTCGGGTGTGTGTGTGGCACAAGCACATGCATTTGTGTACACATACGTGCATGCACGCGCGCGTACACACACACACACACACACACAGACACCTGTGGCAGTCTGTCCTTCCATCTTGTATGTTCTAGGGATTGAACTCAAATCATCAGTCAAACTTGGCAACAAGTCCCTTTAGCACTGAGCCATCTGTCTCCTGAAGATTCTTAGCTAGGCATGGTGGTAAGCCTGTGATCACTGCACTCTGACAGCTGAGGCAGGAAGATTGCTGAGTCAGTAAACTATTTCAACATTGCTACAGAAGTGAAATTTGCCTCAGGACTTCAAAAGGGTTGAATGAGGCTGGGAAGGACCCTAGAATCATCCTACAGTCAGGCATAGAGTGCATACTTACCAACCCAAGGCTGCTTGATGAGATTTAAGTCATTGAAAGACCCTGTTTCAGAGAAAAAATGGTGATGTCAGCTGAAAAGCAAACACCCAAACACATGTACCCTGCCCCCCCCCACATGGGTCAGGCAGAAATGAGCTCAGAATACAGGTTTGAACAATTCTACTTTTTAAGTCCAGCTCCTTGGGACTCACATGACCATCGCAACTGTCCCCACCTTCTTTCTGTCCATCCAGGTTTTGAGTTCTTTGAGGCCAGTGCCAAGGAGAACGTGAATGTGAAGCAGGTGTTTGAGCGCCTGGTGGACATCATCTGTGAGAAGATGAACGAGTCCCTGGAACCCAGCTCAAGTGTAGGCAGCAATGGAAAAGGCCCAGCCCTTGGGGATACCCCAGCCCCCCAGCCTAGCAGCTGCAGCTGTTGAGGGTGGCCATGGACCTCCCCATGCCTGTCCACTCCTGCCTTTTCAAGGACTGCGGCCAAGGTGTGAGCCACAGGGGCCGTCTCCAAGCTCAGGGCACTCCTTCCCTCCTGTCCACGTTCCCCGCCTCCCACACAACTCCATCTCTGTTTCTCTCCATGTTGATATGCTCAGACAGTCCTGGCTAGAGCCCACACCCCCAGGCTCTGCTCAGCATTGTCTGAGGGTGTGGGACACCTGTGCAGGTGCTTACTGCTTCCCAAGGCTTTTTGATGGGGGTGGCTTTAGGAAGCATCACCATCTGTGAGTGATGGAGGGGACACTCCATGCCTTCTACCTTAGAACCACTTCCCAGGTGGATGCTCATTGTCCATATTGTTAGCAGAAGGTGTCCTCTGGTGTGGGTTGCTGTACAACTTAGCCCTGGCAGCCTCTTCAGCTCAGGTCCGCTGGTTTGGCCTTGAACCTGCCTGTGAACTGACTGCTAGCCAAGGATACAGGCAGGTCTGTTGTTTCTGTCTTCTGCTTCCCTGGCATCTACCTGAAAGCCTGTTTTCTGGTTACCCAAGGGACAGAGTCAGAACTATCCATGGCATTGATGACTCTCCAAAGTGCCTTCCAAGCTTCCCCTGAGTCCACATCACTGAATGTGGGTTAATCTACTCCGTCTCACACAGAAATAAATTTTGGAACAATCCAGGCTCTATCATAAAGGTGAGAAGTATCCCACCTTTAGCACTCCAACTCTCCATCACTTCACCTCAGAGCCAGGGGACTGAGGCTGCCCACCCAGGCCCCTGTCTGCCTGCCTGGTGGTGTTTTAAGCAAGAGCTTTACACATCTTACATCCTGTGTAGAGAAGGAAGTGGAGAAACAAGCCCACAAAGGGTATGCACTTGCCGGTCAGTTTCTGATGACAGGAGTTGGGCTCTCCATCTGAGGACTCTTGTAGAGACCCAGTGTCAGTGTCATCGCAGTCGTTAGTGGCCCAGGGACACTTTGGGGTTATGGGGAAGGTCAGGGAGACGGCATCAGTGGGTACCTCCCAATGCTTTTGTTTGTACTTTACAGGAGCAGCAGGAATTTCAGTGAACTGGGGATAGGCTGAGGGTTGTCACTGTTGTCTCTACAAAGCTTGGGACTGAACCCATAGGATTCCAGTTCTCTCCAGCTAGGAGACCCTTCCTACCCACTGACCAAACTCCCCTAAATATCATTTGTTCTCATGATTCAGGCAGCCCAGCCTGAAGCCCAGATCCCTGATTTTACATCAGGGGAATCTAATCTTTCAGTCCCTTAGCCAAAATGACTATTGCAGCCCACCAAGCTCCCTTTCTTACCAGGATATGCATGAGTTATGTTCCTGGCTCAGGTTCCAGTGTACCTCTAGCCCTGCCCACCGCTGTTCTTAAGGCATCTGGATGAAGCTGTCTTTGTACAAATTGGATGAAAGGGAGTGGATCAGTGGATCATTTTAGCAAAGTGAGAGCATCTGAACACTTGGAGGGAAGAGGCAAGTTTTTAATGTTGCTTTATCATTATCATTAAATAGTCAAAACAACTAACATTAACTTCTTGAGAGTCAACAACCTGCTGGGTGTGGTGGCATACACTTTTAATCCCAGCACTGGGAGGCAGAAGCAGACAATCTGAGTTCGAGGCCAGCCTGGACTAGAGAACAAGTTCTATGACAGCCAGGGCTATACAGAGAGAAACCCTGTCTCAAAAAACCAAAGAGAGAGACAGACCCTGTCTCAAACAAATAAAGACCAAAAAAAAAAAAAAAAAAGAAAAGAAAAGAAAAAGAAAAACAATAAAATATAATAATTCAATAGTGTCTGGAACTGGGGCTCAGTTGCTAGTGTTTGCCTAATGTGTTGCACAAGGCCCTGGGTTGAAGGCCTAGCACCACACACTAAGCATGTGGTCCAGGGATGCCATCCTAGTGGAGTCAGGAGTTAAGATTACCATCTAGGATGCTGAGGCTAGCTTGGAGCTATGTAAGACTGTCTCAGAAAAGAAAAAGACCTTTAGCCCTGTCAGAGTCTGTCGCCCAGTCTGTTGTTCTAAGCTACTGCTCAGCATGGTGGTGGGCCAGTTTGCCCTTATCTTTGGTTGTTCCTGACATTTCCTGTAACAGAATCACCTTTGGTGTCCCAGTGATGTGAGAGGCTCCCTCAGTTCTATTCAAATAGCTGCAGAGGAAGCTGCCTTGTGGTTTTCATACAACTGGAGATGAGGCCGGCAGGATGGCTCGTCTGATGAGGTCACTTGCTGCCAAGCCTGATGACCTAAGTTAGATTCAGGGATCCATGAGATAGAAGAAGTGATCCATCCCTTCAAGTCATCCTCTGACCTCACATGAGGGTATACACACTCATGTAGTCAATGTAAAAAAATATTTGAAACTGAATAATGTGAAAACTTTGTTTCTTCAACTAATTAGGGAAAATTTGAACTTTTTGATTCCGCCAGTAGCTTTTATCAAGGATGGGTGATTGGGTCACTAGTGAACAGAGGCTGCCATCTGTGCAGATGGCCAAGGGACATGGGGCCCTGTTGAGTATATACATAGAAACTACACTGACAACCCCGGGGGACCTGGGAATGAAGGTTTCTGGGCTGCAGGAGAAGGCAGAAAGCAGCCAGCCTCAGGGAGAAATGGCCATGGCTGCTATGGTTTGCTGGTCTATGATTTTAGGTTTGGTTTTTGGTTTTCTTGTTGGAGGGGGGTGTCTCATGCTGTAGCCTGGCTGGCCTGGAACTCTATGTAGACCAGGCTGGCCTTGAACTCCCAGAGGGCCACCTGCCTCTGCCTCCCTAGCACTGGAATTAGAGGCGGGCGCCACTATGCCCAGCTGACTCTCCTGTCTCCTACATGGTGAAATTATAGGCTGTATCACCAAACCTTTGATGAAGTACTGGGGATGCAGCCCAGAACTTCTTGTATGCTAGGCAAGCGCTCTACCAACTGGGCGTTGGCTGTTTTCAAGCAAAGATTCTGCTCCTGGCTCCCCTCTAGCAATTCAACTCTGCTCTGCTGTTCATATCCCTCAAATCTGATGTCCAGTCTGGCGAAAATGTGTCCTTTTTCCAGTGTGATGAAATGATGCCATTATGAGACCCCATGCTTTTATTAGTTAAGCCCACTGCAAAGCCAATGGGGTTTTTTGTGGTGCACAGAGCCCAATCAGGCCTGGGGCTGTTTCTAGCCAGGCCACAGCCACTTCCCTGGCTCTAGGTCTCACTTTGTGGGCTGGCAAGATAACTCAGTGGGTATTTGCCTCCGAGTCTGGTGAACCAAGTTTGATTCCTAGTGGAAGTCAGATTCATACAAGTTGTCCTCTTGTCTTAGGGTTTCTATTGCTGAAACGAAACACCATAACCAAAATGGAAGTTGAGAAGGAAAGGGTTTATTTGGCTAACACTTCCACATTGTAGTCCATCATTGCAGGAATCTAGGACAGGAATTCAAGAAGGGGAGGTACACAGAGGAGGAGCTGATGCAGGGACCACGGAGGGGTGCTACTTTGGCTTTTACATGGCTTGCTCAGCCTGCTTTGTTATAGAACCCAGGACCACCAGCCCAGGGTTGGAAACCACCCATGATGAGCTGGGTCCTTCCCATCAATCACTAATTAAGACAATGCTCTACAGCCAGATCTTATGGAGGCATTTTCTCAATTGCAGTTCCCTTGTTTAGATGACTCTAGCTGTGTCAAGTTGACATAAAATGAGCTCCACGTGTATGTTGTGGTTCATTTGCCCATCCCACCCCTAAAGATAAGTGTATAAAACTCCCCTTTTAAAGAATTGTTTTATTTTGTTTATGATTGTTTTACTTATATTATTGTGCACCACTTGCATGTTTGGGGCCTGTAGAGGTCAGAAGAGGTCATTGGATGCTCTGGAATTAGATTATGGATGGTTGTAGGCTGAGTGTGACACTCAGGTGCTGGGTACTGAACCCAGGTCCTCATCAAGAGCCACAAGTACAGGGCTGGAGATAAGACTTGGCATTTAAGCACTTGTTACTCTTGCAGAAGACCTAAGTTCATTTCCTAGCACGTACATGATGACTACAACATCCATAACTCCAGTTACATTTTAAGTTTTAATTACTGCACCTAAGAGATCCATGAAACAAAAATGCCTCTAACCTGTAAGCTCCTTGCCCAGGACAAATATTTCCTAAAAGGCTGGGGGCTATTGTTTAAGGGAGATAACAAGCCACATGTTTTCACTCCCCTAAACAAGTTTGTTTGACCCATCTGCACCAGATATGTGTGATCACATGCAAGAAGCAGGTATGTTAGGATATATGCCTGCTCCTGGTTGGACCTGATGGGAATAAGGTTTGGGTGTTGCCTTTTTAAGCCTCTGCAAGGTGTGACTCACAGCCATTTTCTGTCTCGACAAACAAAAAAGCACTGACTCCTCTTCCAGAGGACCCAGGTTCAATTCCCAGCACCACATGGCAGCTCCCAACCACAACTTTAGCTCTGGTCTCCCTAGGCACCAAGCACATAAGTGGTACACAGACCTACATGCATGCAAACACCCATACACCTAAAATAAAATAAAGAAAGGAAAAGAAATACTAAGTACACCGCATCTATGGGCCTAGCATGGCATAGTGTTCCATTAACAACCAATAATGAGCCAGCCAGTGGTGGCACACTTCTGGGACCATGGAGGCAAAGAGGAAGCCGTCACTGTAGGAGGCTGGGGGTGCAGGCTCTGCAGGTCTCAATGCCTGCTCTTTCAGCCTGGAATCTCCAAGCCTGCTTCCTAAGTTTCTCAGGACATCTTTGTTCCACCTTTGCTGTGCACTCTTACCTTACATCTGCCCAGTTAGTTTTCATGTTCTAGTTCTTGTGATGTAAGCATGCTAAGGGAAAAGGACAGTCTTACTTATAGTCAGTCTTCCTTCAAGAGAGGAAATGTAGCCTGAGTACTATTATCTTGCCTCCTATCTAGATTGAGAAATGTAATGGGAATTGACAGATAATAAATCTGAAGAATGGGGTCAAGGAATGTTTAAAGGAAATACTGGAAGCTATACCCACAGGGAGCCCAAATCCTCCACAACTCACAGTTGTCATGTGGTGCATGAATTTGATCCCAGCACTCGGGAGGTAGAGGCAGGTGGATCTCTGTGAGTTTGAGGCCAGCCTGGTCAACAGAACGAGTTCCAGGACAGGCTCCAAAGCAGTACAGAGAAACCCCATCTCAACAAACCAAAATAAAGTTTACTAACTTCTTTGGCAGGTAAGGTTTAATATATATATATATATATATATATATATATATATATATATATAGTTATAGTTATATAGCTATATGTATGTGGAATATATATATATGAACTACATATATCAACTATACATATAAACTATATGTATGGAAATATATGCACATATGTGTGTATATATACAGATGTATGTTTATATATTCACACACACATATATTTCTTCCGGAATTTTGCAGGCTGAGGATCTGGTTCAAATAGGTTAAAATCAGCCAGACAAAATACAGAGAGAATTCAATAATGTCACAGGTTTTAACAGGTCCTGTGAAGAGTCTGCTTGTTCATGGGACCAAATGAAGAAGAAGAAAACACAGGTGTCCAGGCTCCTACCAGTGAAGTGACTAATCAATAGTGTCTCCTTTTTCATGAGTAACCAGAAGGAAAGGACTAGTAGGAGAGCTAGGAATTCTCCAGAAGATGTTCTAGAGAGGGAAACAAAACAGATCTGTCTTTGGTCACACAGATGAGAACTGTCAGTGAAGACCCCTCATTGTGTCCTTACCTATTAGGATCCCTTCTATCTATTGGCCTTAAGAAAGAAATGTCTGTTGTGGTATATTTGTACACTATGAAGAGGTATTGCTATGACAGGTGTAATAAAAAGCAGAACAGCCAATAGCTAGTCAGGTAAGATAGAAGGGACTTCTAGGCAGAGAGAGAAAGTAGAAGGAGATAATCAAGGCAATGAAGAGATGCCAGGAGACACACACAAAGAGGAAACAGAAGGTGCAATATGGAAGAGAGATAACGCCACATGATAGAACATAGATTAACATAAACGGGTTCATTTAAGTTATAAGAGCTAGTTAGGAACAAGCCTCCTGTGTGGCTTCTAGATGACCACAGTCTCTCAGGTAGGCATGGTGGACAGAGGCCTGGCTCTTTAAGAGGCCCTGCTGTGCAGTAGAGCACTTGAGCAGCTAGCCTGTTAAGTAAGATGCCTACTGCTCAGACTCAGCAAATTTCCAGACCTGGGGCAGTAATGTGGCTCCTGCCAGCACCTGCTGACATGAGGCTAGGCTCTCACAGAACAGAGTAGAGTGGACCAGCCTCCTGCACACTCTGCAGGGGTAGCCTAGTCATTTAAGGTTTGTTTCCCGAGGCCAAGTGTACAATAAAGTCAGGTCTAGACCTAGGAAAACTCTAAACAGATATAGTATGCTTTAAAATGTGCTTAGATGCTGAAGAAAAGAAAATGGATATAGACGGTAATAGAAAAAATAACAAGTGAAATCTTTAAAGAGAGTAAAGTGATATAAAAAGAATAAGCTACATAATGATGGGAAGTACATGGTGTCTAGATCCTGAACGGTGCTTTGTTGACTTTGAATTTTTAAAATGCTACTAAACAAAAACAATAGCTGCTAAGAGACATTGGATTGTGGAAACTGCTAAATTAAACCAACCTACATATTTTAAGAATATCTTACCTTCAAAATATGTTGTGTTGGGATAGAGATTATACTTTTGTTTCCACAGGAGAAGAAGGAGTTATGGTTCTCTCAAAATTAATTAAGACCAAATTTTATTGGGGGAGTCCTCCTGAAAAGATTGGTTATAGACATGAAAAAAAGAAACCAAGAAAAACTCAAGGACAGTTCCTTGACATAGGAACATCTCTAAGACTGGATGAGACATTATAAATCTTATTGGCTGCAGAGTTGGGGGGAGGGGGTGGAGAGAGGTAGACAAGACACAAATAAAGAGAAGTAGCCCAGATGATCCAGCCTCTCAAAAGCCTCTGTTGCATCCAGAACAACTTCAAAACTGATAGCTAAGATGGTCCAGCCTCACAGAGTACTCCAGCCAGGACTTCAGATAAACCCTGCACTTCCCCATTACACAGAGACTGGACAACAAATGATACTAGTTTCCCCAGGACTTGACCATTATTTCAATTTTCCCAGGGTCCCCTAAAGATACCATTGCCCCCAAACAACAAGAAACAGTCTAGAGAACAGGATGCCCACATTCCCAAGAGGTGGGGTGAGTGGTTTTTGGTCACTCAGTAGGGTTATGGATGTTTGTCATTGCTTAGGGGGTTTGGTTAGAAGTTATTAGTCATGGTCAGGAAAATAGCTGAACAAAGATTAGATTCAGGGATCTCTTTCTAAAGCGAAAGGGGGATATAATGTAGAAATGATGAGATAAAGGAGTAAATGGTCGAGTATATCTTTGAACAGCCACTAATCTCAAATATTTTATATTGGTATGATATTCTGATACAAATTTAACATTACTTTTATTATACTGTACATGTTTTTACTCTTGTTTAGGGTATTGTAGCTTTGCAGCTCATTTTAAAATGTAAAGTTTTAGTCTTTGAAAGCTATTTAGGATAATCAAGGAAGACAGGTTAGTAGTTAGTCATCATTAACAAACATGTAGTCATGTTAGGTATGCTTTCAAGGTCAGACAGAGATGTATTTTAAATAGATAGATGGTCTTCAAACACTTCAAACTACATATATAGCATTTAAGATGTTTTAATAACATAAGGCTTTACATGACAGTGAGACACCTCTGCTCCTGACAGCACCGATTTACTTCAGAGAAGATGACAGGAATCAAAGAGCCTGTATTGTGGCAAAGCTAGCTACTGGGTGAGAAATTTCCCTTGCTTCTTCTGCTGAATGCTGTCCAAATTGGACAAGCAGGGACAAAAAAAAAAAAAAAAAAAAAAAAAAAAAAAATGGGACCATTGAATTTTGCCAAGACAAGGTAGGAGTCCTTCAAAATTCCTGCTTCATAGAAAAGTCTGTCAGATATTCCAGGCCTGTAGTACAAAGATGGATGTCTCAGTGTTGCAGAGGAATTTTAGGCAACTGTCCAGGCATCCAGCTGTCTCTGCCATTTCTCATCCTTTTGGAAGTTGCTTGTTTTACACTGTTTATTCAGGTAATATTATATCCTTCACGGATCTCTGATGATGTTGAAGCTTAGATAGTTTAGTTATAGTTTTCTTTGTTACCAGATTCAGAAAAGAAACTATCATGAGAGCTGTAAAGTTTATAAGGCTGAGAAACATAAAAGCTCTTGATGTTTATCTAAGATATTTATGATAGAAAGTATAAAACTCTGGACTCACTAAGATAGGATAGACAATAGAGATTTTTCTCTGAAAATACTAAATACAAATGGACTGGACACTGTGAATGTATTTATTTGATGATTATTCATATTTATATAGTTTTACTGTATTAGAGTTAAAACCTTTCTTAGACAAAAGCGGGAAATGTTGTAGATATTTGTACATTATGAGGAAATTTCCTGTGATTAATGTAATAAAAAGCTGAATGGCCAATAGCTAGGCAGGAGACCTAAGAACTTCTGGGAAGAGGAAGAGAAAGCCGGGCAGTGGTGGCACATGCCTTTAGTCCCAGCACTCGGGAAGCAGAGGCAGGTGGATCTCTGTGAGCTACAAGAGCTAGTTCCAGGACAGCCTCCAAAGCCACAAGGAAACCCTGTTTCAACCCCCCCCCCAAAAAAAAAGAAGAAGAAAGAAAGAGGAAGAGGATAATGCAAAGATGGAGATGCCAGACACAGAGGGAGTCAGGCATACAGAATGAAAGGCAGGTTAAAAAAAGAAGTTAAAATGTAGATTAATAGAAACAGGTTAGTTTAAGTTATAAGAACTAGTGGGGCAAGCCTAAGCTAAGACTGAGCTTTCATTATTAATAATAAGTTTCTGTGTGTCATTATTTGGGAGCTGGTGGGACAGAGAAAGAGCCATTACAAATGTCTGCCTAGACCAGGCATTGGTGGCACACACCTTTAATTCCAGCACTGGTGTGGCAGAGACAGGCAGATCTATGTGAGTTCGAGGCCAGCCTAGTCTACAAAGCTAGTTCCAGGACAGGTTCCAAATCAATACAGAGAAACCCTATCTTGAAAAATCAAAAAATAAAAAAACAGGTCTGGACAGATGGCTTAGAGGTTAAGAGCTGTTCCTCCAGAGGTCTGAATTCAATTCCCAGCAACCACACTGTGGCTCACAATCATCTATAATGAGATCTGGTGCCCTCTTCTGGCATGCATACTTACATGCAGGTACTGTATACATAACAAATAAATAAATCTTAAACCAAAACAAAAACAAAACTCTAATACAATGGAAATGATACTATAATGACTTACGGCCTTTTGAGGATGCAAACCCTTTGTTAGTGGGAGGAGGGTGCCCTGGTGGTGCCTTAGTTTTGCCACAGGAGCAACCTCAGTGTAGCTTGCAAGGGGGCACTCTGACACACAGGAGTCACAACTACAAAAATGCAGCTTGCTTCCTGCCCTGCAACAGCTCAACCCCTCTTTGAATGCACCAAGTTCCAGGCATTTTGTCTAACAAAGCTTCAACTCTCTTACACCATGTTACACTTAGCTGTTTCAAGTTAATACATTGCCAGCTGGGGTGCAAAATAAAAACCAAGAAAGGCAACGGGACAGATAAGGATTTCCTGATTTTTTTTTAATTCCCCTCTGAAGAGCAGTCAGTGCGCCAAAATAAATGAGACCCACTCTGCAACAGGGACTCTGTGTCCTGTCCTTTCCCAGACTGTGTCAGCTCAGCTTGATGAACAGCAGTAAGGTGGCAAGAATTCCTGGCAGCTGCGGGGAGACACATCCAAGCAAAGTCAAACTGGACGAAGCTAGTGAGACAGCTCAGTGGGTAAAGGTGCTTGCTGCTAATAGACCTAATGAGTTCAATCACTGAGACCCACAAGGTGGAACTTGACAGTCAACTTTCCATTCCTGCAGGTTTTTCTCTGACCTCCACACCTGTACAGTGGCATAGAGTGCCCACCTCACACTCACACACTAATCTTTCTTTCTTTCTTTCTTTTTTTTTTTTTTTTTTGAGACAGGGTGTCTCTGTGTAACAATTTTGGCTGTCCTGAAATTCCTCAAACTCACAGAGATCCGCCTGCCTCTGTCTCCCAAGTACTGGGATTAAAGGTGTGCACCGCCACCGCCCGGCCACACACAAATATTTTTAAAGTTATATTTACAGATTTGTTTTATGTGTATGAGTATTTTGTCTGTGTGTATATATGTACACCAACCATGTGTGTTGCCAGGATCAGAAGAGGTTGTCGGACCCCGGTAGTCGGTGACGGGACCCTCGTCCGTGGTCATTGATCTGCAGTTGGGAAAGGACAGGGCAGATAAAAGGCAGCCCTGTCAGCTGAAACGTTTGGTTAATGAAGTAAGATTAAGCCTCAAACAGAATCAATAACAAAATTTTGTCTTGCCTTTTGCCCCACTAGAGGACTACATTTCCCAGAATCCTCTACAATGGCTTCCTATAAGGTTGCACCAATAGGAAGCTCCTGTTCTTTATCTTCCTGTACGAAATGGAAGGAAAGGCTGACCCCACTCTTCTTCAGCTCTTCGGTTACAGCAGTGGAAAGAGAGCCTCCTCTGTTTTCTTCTGCTAAATCCGTTATTTAATTATTTTGTTTGTAGAAACGGTCTCATTATATAGCCAGGCTATCCTGGAATTGTCTATGTTGGCCAGGCTGTCCATAGAATTCATAGAAATCCCGCCTGCTTTGGAAGGGAGGGAGGAAGGAGGGGTCTGACCTGCACACATGTCCCAGAGAGAGAGAGAGAGAGAGAGAGAGAGAGAGAGAGAGAGAGAGAGGGAGGGAGGGAGGGAGGGGGAGGGGGAGGGAGGGAGGGAGGGAGGGAGGGAGGGAGGGGGAGAGAGAGGGGGAGAGAGAGAATGACCTGCACCACTGCTGCTCCCAAGGAGACTGTGCTCAGGGAGAAACTCTGAGCCCTGGTGATTTTCAGAAGTTTGACAAAGCAGCCCTGAGATACAGATAAGCCAGAGCTGTTAGTTCAGGGACTCCAGGGCTCTCTGAAGCCCACCCTATGGCCACTCCCGTCCCTGTGAAAGAGGCAGAGTTCTGGGATTCTTTCATCTCTGTCCTTCCAAGACAGGGGCTTATTATATAGCCCCTGCTGTCCTGGAACTTACTAAGTAGGCAAGGTTGGTCTGAAATTCAGAGATATGCCTGTCTTTGACTCCTGAGTGCTGGGATTAAAGTTGTAGACACTATGCCTGGCTTCTCCTTTCTTTCTCTTTTTTTGTTTTGTTTTAGTTTTAAATTTTTGTTTTATTATTACTGTGTGTGTGTGTGTGTGTGTGTGTGTGTGTGTGTGTGTGTGCTTAAGCACACATGTGTGCATGTACCCTCAGAGGTCCTGATTGGCTTTTTGTAAATGACACAAACTGGAATTATCTGGAAAGAGGAAACTTCAGTTGAGAAAATGCCTCCATCAGATTACCTGTGGACAGATATATGGGGCATTTTAAATGTTTGATTAATGATTGAAGTGTGAGGGCCCATGGCTGTGTGCAGTGCCACCCCTGGGAAGGTAGTTCTGACTGCTATAAGAAAGCAGGCTGAGTAAGCCATGGAAAGCAAGCCAGCAAGCAACACAACTCCATGGCTTCCACATCAGCTCCTGTCTCCAGGTTCCTGCCTGACTTCCCTCAGTGATGAACTATGACCTGTAAGACAAACAACACTTTCCTTCTAAGTTTCTCTGGTCATAGTGTTTTATTACAGCAATAGAAACCCTAAGACAAGCCAGATGATGGTGGTGCATTCCTTTAATCCCAGCACTTGGAAGGTGGAGACAGGCACCTGTGAGTTCAAGGCCAGCTTGTTCTACAGAGCAAGTTCCAGGACAGCCAAGGCTACACAGAGAAACCCTGTCTCAAAAAACAGAGAGAGAGAGAGAGAGAGAGAGAGACCCTAAGACAGAAATTAGGACAGGAGGGGTGTGTTTTTCTAGCACACCCGACCATGTTTTGGGGAGGACTGATGAATTATGGGCCAGAAAGGCCACTGCATGTTCAGAGCTGTGCTGACTAGTTTTATGTCAGTTTGACACAAGCTGGAGTCATCTGAAAGGAGGAAACCTTAATGAGAGAAAAACCTCAATAGATCAGGCTGCAGACAAGCGTATGGGCCATTTCCTTAATTAGTGTTTGATGAGAGAAGGCCCAAGCCATTGGGTGGTGCCACCCCTGGGCTGGTGCCCCTGAGTTCTGTAAGAAAGCAGGCTGAGCCAGCCAGCGAGCAGCACCGTCCATGGCCTCTGCATTAGTTCCTGCCTCCAGGTTCGTACTCTGGCATCCCTCTGTGAAGTATAAGCAAAATAAACCCTTTCCTCCCCAATCTGCACTTGGTCATGGTGTTTCATCACAGTAATAAAAACCATAACTAAGACAAGAATTTAATGAGTGCTTATGGAAACTTGGAAGAAAATTCTGAGAGCAGAATATAGCATGGAGGCCTGGCATGTTAAATTTCAGAGGGAAGCTTGAGAAGCCCTTAAAGGCTCTATGAGGGCCATTCAACATTTTGAAATAAGAGTCTATAGTTCTGGGGCTGGAGAGATGGCTCAGAGGTTAAGAGCACTGAATAGTCTTCCAGAGGTCCTGAGTTCAACTCCCAGCTTACAACCATCTATCATGAGATCTGGCACCCTCTTTTGGCCTGCAGACAGAACATTTTATATGTAATAAAAATATGTTTTAAAAAAGTCTATAGTTCTGATTAACTGGCACTCAAAGACTGGCTGTGATTATCTATCAAGAGACAAAAACTGAAACCTTTGCTTTGCTGAACAATACTTAGCTGGGGCTGGAGTGAGCTGTGACAGGAGGAGGTCCGCATCATCGAGTGAGCACTATCAGAAAGTGCTTCCTTGGGATCAGCACTCATATGCTGTGTCTAGAGGCTGTACCTTGTGTTGGCAGCTGAACTTGGCAATGTATACGCTTCCCAAGCGGTACTGCATTTGAAGACATGAAAGGGTCATGGAGTGCAGCTTGGCTGGGCTCTGGAGGAGGCCAGCAGAGGCCACTGAAGGTGCAGCTTCAGTGGCAGTAGGGAGCCCAGGACGGAAGGGACCATGGAAAGCACCCAAGGCTTGGCATTACATAGCAGGGTTAGTCCCTGAAGAGTGCCTAGCAGAGACTACTGAAATGCCATCCCAGTTGCAATGGGGACCCAAGTATTTTGGAGATGCCAGGCGGTGACAGCAGCTGCTGTGGAATGGAGCTGACCTAAGCCTGTTCGAGAAACTACGTGTGCATCAGCCCCAAGAGGGGAGTGGCACAAGCCCTTTGGAGCCTAGACCATGAGCCTCAGGCCCCGGCACCGAGCTTCACACTGTTGGGAGGTGCTTTTGCTTTGAATGTGAACATACCCCAGGTCTTACCTCTTGGAATAAGACTGATGCAACTTTCTTAAAAATTTTACAGGAGCCACAAATAAGGCATTTTGGATTTTTAGAAAGACTTTAAATACTTAAAAAAGAATACTTGTAAGGTGTTTGAATTTTTAAGGACTATGGGGCTTTTAAAAGTTGGAATTTTTGAGTTTTTGGTTGTGTTGTTTTTTAAAGCAGGGCACTGGTGGCATGCGACTTTAATACCGGCACTCTGGAGGCAAATGCAGGCAGATCTCTATGACTTTGAGGCCAGCCTGGTCTACAAAATGAGTTCCGGGACAGCCAGGGCTACACAGAAAAGCTGTTTTTCAAAAAAGCAAGAAAGAAGTTGGAATGTTTTATACTATGATATTAATATGAGATCCTGGGGACAAACAAGAAAGGAAGGGTTGTGGTTTACTAGTGTTGCATTGGTGTGTCAAACTGACAAGTGACACATTGTCCTGGTTTATATTTCAGTCAACTTGACACAAGCTAGAGTCATCTGGGAAGAGGAACCTAATTCCTGTAGGCAGGCCTGAGGGTATCTGCTTGGATTGGTACAGCCACTGTGGGTACCATCTCTGGGTACCAGAGTCCTGGCTTGTTTAAGAGAGCAGGCTGAACAAGCCATGAACAAGCCATTAAGCAATGTTCCTCTATGGCCTCTGCTTTAGTTCCTGCCTTGACTTCCCTCAATGATGGGCTAAAATCTGTAAAGTGAAATAAACCCTTTACTTCCCAGGTTGCTTTTAGTCACGGTGTTTTAAAAGCACAGCAATAGAAACCCAGTTACAAGCATTCATTAGCTGCCTATTGTGGGTGTTGGGATCTGAATTCTGGTTTCATGGTTGAACACCAAGTGTTCTTAACCACTGAGCTATGTACCAGACCCCGTGTTTTTTTGTTTTTGTTTTGAGACAAGGTCTCACATAGCACAGGCTAGCTTAGAACTCTCTGTATAGTGGAGGATGACCTTAAACTCCTGTTCTCACTTCCCAAGTACTGGGATTATAAATGTGTGCAACCACAGTGGTCCTGAGGACTAAACCAAAGGTCTCATGCATTCTAGGTTAGCACACTACCTATTTAGTTACATACCCAGCCTTGGTTTTATTTATTTTATTTACTTGTTTATTTACTTAAGATAGTATCTAAGTATATAGCCCAGTCTGGCCTCAAGCTTGACTCCTGCCTCAACCTCCAAAGTGCTGGGATTATGGGCATGTGCATCCCTCCTCCTCCTCTTCCTCCTCTTTCTTCCCTCCACATGGGTGTATGCATTCCTCCTCCTCCTTCCTCCTCTCTCCTTTCTGTTAGCCTGAGCCCAGAGCTTCAAACGTACTAACGGTATAATTCTGCACTGAGTTACAGTGTTACTTATTTCTGAGTACTCTTTACATATGAATATAAGGATTGCATGAACTATATTCAATGTCTCATTCCTTTATTTGTATTTTCTCATTCATCTCTCAATATGGTCTTATGAGCTGGGTGCTACTCCTCTTTGTCTTATGGGTGAGGGGGCTGGAATACACAGTCTTATAACCATGTACCCACACCCATTTCCTTATGATGCATCCAGAAACCCAGGGTGGCAATGGAGCTCTGCCCATAAAGGCACTTGCTGCCTAGGTTGAAGACCTGAGTTCAAGCCCCAAGATCCACACAGAGGAAGGAGAAAACTGATTCCTGAAATTGTTCTCTGGCCTCCAGATGTGCCTTGTGACACATCTGCTAAATGGATAAATGAAATAATTAAAAAACAAGCACACAAAAGCAAGTAATAGTTTTTCATCCCCTGATGGCCATCCGAGTTTCTGTTCCAATGAATTTCTCAGTGTATCTGGGTGTGAGGTGAGGTGGTCAGTCCAGCCTGGGCTGGTTGTGATTCACATTCAGCAAGGTGGACTGTGGCCTCAAGTGAACTTTCAGGAAGAATCCCTTATTTACCCTCTTATACATATAGTACATACATACATATATGTATATATATATACATATATACATACATAATAGTGAGCATTAGAATAGAATCAGAGGCCTCATGGGAAATGGAATGCACAACAGAGCCAAGTTCCTCTAACCCAATCCTGTCAATCAAAACAAGGACCTGCCAGTGCTGAGCCCCTTAGCAAGCAAACCCCCTTTTCTCTCAGCCCAGGAAAGGAAGTTCTGGACACTAACTCATGTGGCCCTTAGCCACTTTTTGTTTGATTTTTAAAATTTTGTTTTAAGTGTATGGGTGTTTTGCCTGCATGTGTTTTTATTGTAGGATATTATTTTAAGATGTGGTATTACATTTATTTATTTAACATTTGTTTAATGATGCAGAGATGTGCTGTATTCTTGTTTGTTGCATTTGTTTATCTCTGTGAAGCTATGTTACTTTGCCTGTTACTTTGCTAGACCTGATTGGTCTAGTAAAGAGCTGAATAGCCAATAGCAAAGCAGGGGTATGGATAGGTGGGGCTGGCAGGCAGAGAGGATAAACAGGAGGAGAAATCTTGGAGGAGAAGATCTAGGACTGAGAAAAGGGGGGCCAGCCCCCCAGATGCACAGCCAGCCACGGAATAAAAAGTAAAGAAAAAATATACAGAAATACAGACGCAAAAGATAGACGGGGTATTGGTTTTTGGTTTTGTTTGTTTGTTTTTGTTTTTATTTGCTTTTGGGGTTTTGGTTTGGTTTTTTTTTTTTTTTTTTTTTTTTTTTTTGACAGGGTTTCTCTGTGGCTTTGGAGGCTGTCCTGGAACTAGCTCTTTGTAGACCAGGTTGGTCTCAAACTCACAGAGATCTGCCTGCCTCTGCCTCCTGAGTGCTGGGACTAAAGGCATGCACCACCACCACCCACCTGGGATTTTTGTTTTTCGAGACAGAGTTTCTCTGTGTAACTGTCCTGGCTGTCCTGGAACTCGATTTTTAGACCAGATTTTTAGACCATTTTAGACTCAATGAAATCTGCCTGAGTCTGCCTCCTAAGTGCTGGGATCAAAGGTGTGAGCCAACATCATCCCGATTCTTATTATCATCATCATTATTATATAGTCTTCTGGCTGCATGTATGCTTACACACCAGAAGAGGGCAACAGAGATCATTACAGATGGTGTGAGCCACCATGAGGTTGCTGGGAATTGAACTTAGGACCTCTAGAAGAGCAGACAGTGCTCTAAACCTCTTATGTCCTATCCCCAGCCCCTAGACAGGATAATTTAAGTTGATAAAAGCTAGTTAGAAATAAGTCAAGCTAAAGCCAGACATTTATAAGTAAGAATAAGCCTCTGTGTGATTTATTTGGGAGCTGGGTAGTGGGCCTCTCAAAGAGTAAAGACTAAAAACCCTGAACATATGTACATGTAGCATGTGGGTGCCTGGTGCCTACAGAAGGTATCCAATTCCTTGGAACTGAAGTTATGTACAGTTTTATGCCTCCCTGTGGGTGCTGGGCCTCAAGCCCAGGTGCTCAGCAAGAAAAAGAGCTCTTAACTCCTGAGCCATCTCTCCAGCCTTATTTATTTCTTTATTGTATTGTATGCCCATGTTCATGGTACACATGCCATGGGGGGGCATATGGAGGTTAGAGGTTAACCTGAGGGAATTTTCCCAGGGACCAAACTCAGGTTGTGTCAGGATTCATGGTAACCCTGTACCCACTGAGGCTTCCCTCTGCCCTTCCTTCTTATTTTTTTTAATTGGGTTTTTGCAGTGTAGTAGTCCAAGTTGACCGCTCAGACTAGTGATCTCCATGCCTCAGCCTCCTCAGTGCTGAGGATTATCGGTGTGAGCCACCCTGACCACTTACTATTCTGTCTTTTGCAGTTGATAATCTCAGTGTTTTTTCACAGTATCAGGAAGAAGACTTGTTAGTCCAAAGTGATGTTACCAAAATGAACTGAAAACTCTGAGTTTCTCTCTCCCCCAAGCCTTTGGTCACGGTTCCCACAGTCTGAGCTCCTAGAGTCTCTAAGATAACACACACACACAAAAGGTTTGAATTACCTCCTGGAGATGACATCCAAGGACACATTGTGCCCATCACAGTTTGCACTGCCTATGGATTTACAACAGCCCCTGGGGTAGCTGTGGCCACTTGTCACTTGAAAGGAAGAGCCAACAAAAGCTGTGTGGTTACTCACCCACAGTACTTCAGCTGCAACAGGAGAATTAATGACTCCCTGAGGCCTATGGGGTGGCTCAGTGGGAAGAACTCATGCACAAGGCATGAGGACTTGAGTTCAAATCCCCAACACCATGTCAAAATTCAGGCATGCCTTGTGTGCCTGTAAGCCCAGTGCTGGGAAGCAGAGATGGGGAATTGCCGGGGCTTTCCAGCTGCCAGTCTAGCTTCCAGATTCAGTGAGGGACCCTGGCTCCAGAGAACAAGGTGGGGAGTGACGGAGCAGGACGCTTGACGTCCTGCTTTGTCCCCCACATGCACACACACCTGTACACACCTGCTCACATACACTGTTTACGGACTCCCCTTTAAATAAGAAAGCCATTGTCACCCCAGTCACCCCACTCTTCTCCCAGGGCAGAAACTGGCTTCTTCACTGTGACTCATAAGGACCTGTCCAGGTTACCCATCACCTCCCAAACTGAGCTCAGGACAGATTGAACTCATGATGACCCTCCTGCCTCAGCGTCTCATGTGCTGAGTTTGTAGGCATGACCCACAACATCAGTCCTTTTAAAGACAATGTTTGTTTTGTTTTGAGACAGCGTCTCACTGTGTAGGCCTGGCTGCATAGCACTGGCGTGTAGACCAGGCTGTTCTGAAACTCACATAGGTCAGCCTGCCTCTAGAGCCTTCTGTGTGCTGGGATTAAAGATGTGCACCACCATTCCCAGTATTCATTTTCTTCACTTTTATTTCTCACATTATTATTATTATTATTATTATTGCATATTTGTGCTATGACACAGGTGTATAGATCAGAGGAAAACTTCAGGAGCCAGTTCTCTTCTGCCATGCGGGTCGCAGGGCCTGAACTCAAACCATCAGGATACATGGCAAGTCCTTTTACTTACCTTGCAGCTTTGTTCACATCTATTCAATCCACAGTTGTCTGACTCTGGACACGGAGTGCTTCAAGCAGAGAACCAACTGGGGCTCAATTCTCTCACAGTGAGTGCCCATCGGACTTGGCAGCTGAACATGGATGGCTACCAGCTCTAAAGCAACCCTGGGGAAGCACCTGCAGGACCTCCAGGTCATTGTCAGCTGAGTGAGTTCAAGGCCAGGTCAGTTGAAATGTGCCTGGGAGAAGAGTCTGGTGGTTGTTTGTCTAAGGTGTGGGAGGCCCTTGGCTCCATACCCCACACAAGAAAAGGTTAAATGATCAATCATGTGCTATGTCTGTTTCAGCAGCATGTTATAAAAGGTGTGGCTCACCTTCTCCATGACACGGTTCCACTGTATAGAGAAGCCATCTGCCTCACTGTATTCGCAGTAATTCCTCTGCAGGTTCAGAAAGGTGTGTGTGCTCGGAGGCCACATCCTGAAACTTCCGGGAGAGGCCGGAAGCATAATCACCGCGAGAGAGAGAGAGAGAGAGAGAGAGAGAGAGAGAGAGAGAGAGAGAGGGGGAGGGGGGAGGGAGGGAGGGAGGGAGGGAGGGAGGGAGGGAGGGAGAGAGGGAGGGAGGGAGGGAGGGAGAGAGAGAGAGAGAGAGAGGGGAGAGAGAGAGAGAGGGGAGAGAGAGAGAGAGGGAGAGAGAGAGAGAGAGAGAGAGGGGAGAGAGAGGGGAGAGAGAGAGACCTCCTGCCTCGCCTCTGGCCTCCTCATCCCTCCCTCCACTCTTCCCTCCCTTCCCCCTCTTCTCCCCTTGTTCTTTCTTTCCATCGAGGCAGGGTCTCATTGCCTCAGGCTAGCCTCAGAGGCACTGTATACCCAAAGCTGACTATGAACTTCTGACCCTCCTACTTCTACCTCAAGTGCTGTGCTGAAGTTATTGAGGTTCATTTCTTGAGGCTAGAAATTGGGGATTTTCTTTGGCTATCTTCACTTTCTCTCCTTTTCCTTATGGTTCTGAAGGGCTAGAATCCTTTCATTCAGGCTGCCATGGAACTGGCCGGGGAAGAGCAGAGCAGTTCAAAGGCAAGCGCATCTATCTGGTACACTGAGTACCGATGGAACCTGAATCACAAGCTGGCTAGGTCATCACTGGTAAAAACTGCCCCCTTAGCAGCCAGGCATGGTGCTCACACTCTTGTCATCCCAGCGCTGAGGAGGTAGAAGGGTCCAGAGCCCATAGTCAGACAACTTCTTAGTGAGTTGGAAGCTAACCTGGGTTATGAGAGAGCTACAGAGAGAGACAGACAGACAGAGACAGCATTAAATATTACTTTTACCAACCAAATTTCTTTTGGAACACATAAAGGGTGAATTTAGCTTTGGGGATATATATATATATTCTCTATGTAGACCAGGCTGTCCTCAAACACACAGATCCACCTGCCTCTGCCTTCCAAGTGCTGGGATTAAAGACATGCACCACCATGCCTGGCCTCCAAATTTTGATTTTTAAAGTAAAGGGTTTGAATTACTGGAGTTTCTGAGGATATGGCTGAGTTGGTTAGCATTTTTATAGCATTCACGAGGCTCTGGTTCAGTCCCCAGCATAACAAAATCCAGGCATGTCGGCCACACAGCAGGGAAGTGGAGACAAAAATATCAGGAGTTCAGGGTCATCCTCAGCTACATGAGGATTCAAGACCCTGTCTCAAAAAAAAAAAAAAAAAAAATCCCAGTGACAGCAATGATATAAATCCATATCCAAAATGCTCCAAGACTGGAGGTCAACCATGGGAACTTCCCCTCCCACCAATGTCCCCAGCCTCCCCAGTGCCTCCAACTACCCTGGAGTGAGTGACCAGCCAGTACAGTGCTTTGTCCCCTGTGTCAGAGCACAGTCTGCCTTCATTCTCTTTCTCATGTACCACAGAGCTCTCTCTGCCCCTGGCTGTCCCCAGTAAGGACAGGTTTTCACTGCTTATCATTTCTCTACACAGTGGCCTGGCTGCTTTCTGTCCTGTGGCACCCTGTGCACAGCCCTCAGCCTCTCAGCCCCTTGAGCATAGTAACTCAGGCACATTTTTGTGTTTTTGAGGCATGTTTTTGGCAAGTAGTCCAGGCTGGATGTAAGGTCATGATCTCCTGCCTCAGCCTCCTGGATACTGCAATCACAGGTGTTTGCCTTGATTTTGGATCCAAATGCCTGCTCTTTCCTGTCTCTGTATATAAGTACACTTGTGTATATGTGTGCCTGTGTGTGTACATGGGCATGCATGTACATGCCTATGTGTGTGCATGCATGTGTGCATGTGTGTGTGTGTGTGTGTGTGTGTGTGTGTGTGTGTGTGCATGCTTATGTATGCATGTGAACTGAGCCATGCCCCAGCCCTTCTCCAGGCCTTTAGATGGATTTCCTGTTCTGTGACTGGTCCAGTGACCCATAGGGAGGATGTCTCCTTTCCCCGGTTTCTGGTCTCCATAAGCATGTCCTGTCATCACCTCCCAAATAGAGCCCCTGAATAGTGACAGACTCAGCTCCTCACTGGGGATTCTAGGGAGGAGCTTCTGACAAAGCACCTCATACCCCTAATCTTTGGACATCTTTTAAAATTGTACAAATGTACCTGCATTGCCCACCTCCCTGCAGAAGACAGCTGGATAGTGACAGGTTCCTGGTGTCCTCTGTTGGAGAAGGCTGAAGTTTTCAGTTTTTCAACTCTGCATTTCAGTACTCCCCCATCTCTGGGCTTCCCTGTGTCAGGGGAGGGCATGGAGTGGGGGTGCCTTTGGGGACCAGACTTCTGATGACCTCTGTCTCTTCCTGTGAGTTAGGAATCCTGTACTTACAGTGGGAAGAATACAAGCACCACGGAGGCCATCACAACTTCCAGAATGACAATAATAAGCAGGGACAGGGAAACTGGAAGGCAGAGAAAGGGACAGGGCTGGGCTGGGAGCCCGCTTGGTGGATCCCACTGACCTGGTGCTGAGGAAGGTAGAGGTTCGGTCCTTCACCCCACCACCATTCCACTGGGCTCCTGTTTGAAAGAACTCAGATGTGATAGGGGTAGAGCAGGAGGTTGCTGGGCTTTGTTCTTCCCAGCTCTGTTTCCAGGGTTGGGAAGATTCAGGTGCAGGCTGGCCTGGTGGGCTTGAGGGGCCTGAAGATGGGAGCCTCCTCTTGACTCAAAGCAGGTGCATGGGGAGGACATGGGTGAAGGAGAAAGGCGTGTGAGAAAGTACTGACAAGCCTCAGCCACCTACTGATACCAAAATCAAACAAGGGAACCGGGAGCCTGCACGTGAAAAGTGGAAGAGGAAGGGTGAGAGCCTAGCACTCGGGGGCAGAGGCAGGGGCAATGAGGATGGACGCATGGCCGGGCTGTGTGGTCTCTGCGTGCACTACTTATAGCCACTGCTTTCTGTACTCATCCCGTACCACCCGGCAAGGCTGAGCCCTGTGGTGATGAATTCCACTCCCAGGCTCAGATAACCGGAGTGAAAGAGGTAGGCAGACGACATCCCAAGGACCTTCGTCATTGTGGCCTCTCCATACGTGACCCCAAGAGCCAGGCCAATGAGGGCCATGCCAGACACCTTGAGAACAGAAACCAAACAGAAGGAGGTCAGGGGGTACAGGTGGAAGTCTTCCTGGGTGGGGCCAGAGGGAAGCAGAGGCTAATAAAATCAGTAAACATGCTAAACGGGGTAATACCAGAGCTGATGTGATGAGGAAACATTGTCATAGTTGTGTAAAAACAACAACAAAAAAAGTCGGCATTATAGGAATTATAGGCATGTGCCATCGTGGCTGACTTTTTTCCTTTTTCACATTTACTTTATAGGTATGGATGTTTTCCTTGTTCCACATGTGCACCCTGTGCATGTCTGATGCTCAAGGATGATGCCAGAAGAGGGCGTTGGATCCCTGAAACTGGAGTTAGAGGCGATTGGGAGCTATTATTAGGGTGCTGGAAGCTAAACCCAGGTCCTCAGCAATAGCAGCTGATGTGCTTACCTGAGGAGCATCCCCTCCAGTCCCAGCTTTTACTTTTTGAGGTAAAATTCTACTTCAGAAATCACATTTTTAAATTTTTGCTTAATGAAATAATCACAACCAACTTTCAGGGCAACAGGGTGTTTGTCCCAGTGGGGTCTTGTATATTGCTTCATTGTGCAGCCCTCACTTGCTCATTATGTAGGCTAACCTTATACTTCTTGTTTTTTCCAAGACAGGGTTTCTCTGCTCTGTAGACCAGGCTGGAATTGAACTCAGAAATCCTCCTGCCTCTTCTGTCATGTGTTTGTACTAAGGGCCTGGGCCATCATGCTCAGCTGTTTTGTCTTTTTACATGAAGAGGACATGGGGGCTGTGGAGATAGCTCAGCAGCTAAGTCATTTAATATTCTTACAGAGGACTTGAGTTCAGTTCCCAACACCTACACTAGACAGTTCACAACTACCTGTGACTCCAGCTCTTTTGGCCTCTGCAGGTACTCTCTCCTCTCTCTCTCTCTCTCTCTCTCTCTCTCTCTCTCTCTCTCTCTCTCTCAAGGAAAGGAGGAGTGGAGAGAGAGCTAAGTGGCTAAGAGTACTTACTTCGCAATCACAGTTCCCCAGTTCAGATTCTAGCACCGACTTAACAAAAGCCCATAATTCTACCTCCGAAAGGGGCGGAGACAGGAGGATTGCTGGGGCTTGCTGGCTTGCAGCCTAGCTGAGACCCCAGCTCCAGGTTCAGGGAAAGATCCTACCCGATTCAAAAGGACATGGTGGACAGCTGACACTTTCTTCTACCCACCCCATGACACACAGTTGAAATAAAAATAAGGAAGATTAGAAAATCACTGGAGAGGAATGGAAAGGAAGACAGGGGGAAAAGACACACAGAGAGACACACACAGAGAGACACAGAGAGACATACACACACACAGAGAGACACACACACACACAGAGAGAGACACACACACAGAGAGACAGAGAGAGAGAGAGACACAGAGAGACACACACAGAGAGAGACACACAGAGAGAGAGACACACACACAGAGACAGACACACACAGAGACACAGAGAGAGAGACACACACACAGAGAGACACACACAGAGAGACAGAGAGAGAGACACACACACACAGAGACACACAGAGAGAGACACACACACAGAGAGAGACACACACACAGAGAGAGAGACACACACAGAGAGAGACACAGAGAGAGAGACACACACAGAGACGCAGAGAGTGACACACACACACAGAGAGACACACACAGAGAGACAGAGAGACACAGAGAGAGACACACACACACACAGAGACACAGAGAGAGAGAAAGACACACACAGAGAGACACACACAGAGAGAGAGACACACACAGAGACACACACAGAGAGACAGAGAGAGAGACACAGAGAGAGACACACACACACACAGAGACACAGAGAGAGAGAAAGACACACACAGAGAGAGACACAGAGAGAGAGACACACACACAGAGACGCAGAGAGTGACACACACACACACAGAGACACACACAGAGAGAGAGACACACACAGAGACACACACAGACAGAGAGAGAGACACAGAGAGACACACACACAGAGAGAGAGACACAGAGAGAGAGAAAGACACACACACAGAGAGACACACACACAGAGAGAGAGACAGAGAGAGGGAGACACACAGAGAGACACACACAGAGAGACACACACACACAGAGAGAGACACACAGAGAGAGAGACACAGAGAGAGACACACACACAGAGAGACACACACAGAGACACAGAGAGAGACACACAGAGAGAGAGACACACATAGAGACAGACACATACACACAGAGACACAGAGAGAGAGAGAGAGAGAGAGAGAGAGAGGGAAGGAGGGAAAAAGAAAGTTGTTGAAGTGTAGGACAGGCTGGGGGTCTGGCTTAGTGGGTCAGAGTGCTCTGTATAAGCACGAACCCCGAGCTCAAATGTCCGCTACCCACATAAAGCCAGGCACTGCCCATGTGTGCAAACCCAGGGACAGGAGGGTCCAGGACTGTGGGCCACTAGCCTCGCTCTAGCTCAGTGAGAGACTCTGCATGAAGAGAATAAGGTGGAGAGGGACAGAGCAGGACACCACCCAGTGTTCTCCTCACCCCCACACAAAGGGGAACACTCATACACACAAATTCCAGCAAATGCAGAAAGATATTTTTTAAATTTTTGCTTGTGTTTAAATTTTTATTATGTTATTAGTGTATGTGTGTGTGTGTGTGAGCGCGCGTGCGCAAATGTATGCACACATCTGTAGAGGTAAAAGGACAACTTGCAAGAGTCAGCTCCCTTCTTTCACCATGGGTCCTAGGGATGGAGCCCAGAGGGTCCAGCTGATGTCACATGTCACTAGCTAAGACACTAGTCCTGCTTTGTTTACTTGTCTGTCTTTGAGACAGAGTCTGATGTAGCCCAGGCTGGCTTCAATCTTGTGCCAACCCTTCTGTCGGGCTCTCGATGTCTGGGACTGCATATGGATGCCACTACACACCAGTCAGAAAAGTCAGGAGTTCAAAGTCACCTTCAGCTACCTAGAGAGTTCCAGGCCAACCACAGGGTTGAATAGGAAGATTCTGCCTCAAAAACAAGACAAAACAAACAAACAAAGATGCATATGGCGTGTTACCCTGATAGCGAGGAAAACTTAAAGGGTGCATGCAGTTTGTGAGCACAGACACAGCTCAGTGACCATGTCCTTCACATGCCTGAAGGCCCAGCTTCATGCTCAGTGCACCAACTAAAACCAAGAAAGACCACTCAGGACTGAAGAGACAGACACTCCGCAGTTACGAGCACACACTGCTCTGGCAGAAGACTTGAGTTCAGTTCCTAGCACCCACCCAGGCACTCACATCACCTGTAATTCCAGCTCCAGGGCAGGGGAAACAAACAAATTGCACTAACTTTTCTATCAAAGGGTTAAATAAGACAAACTCCCACTCTGTTGCAAAAAAAAAAGTAAAGAAGTCACTTGGCAGAAATTTGAATTCCTCTAGAGTGAGAGCTTTTGGAAATCAAAATATGTACTCAACTTTCGCTTCTCCATAGAAGCCACTCTCATAAGAATGTGAGAGCTGGGGGCTGGAGAGATGGCTCAGAGGTTAAGTGCTTTGAATGTTCTTCCAGAGGGACCTGGGTTCAATTCCCAGCAACCACATGGTGGCTCACAACCATCTATAATCAGATCTGGTGCCCTATTCTGGCCTGCAGGGGATACATGTAGGCAGAATGTTGTATACACAATAAATAAATCTTAAAAAAAAAAAAAAAAAAAAAAAAAAAAAAAAAAAAAGAATGTGAGACCTGACTCTGACGGCTCAGGGAGGCACAGGATCCGTTTGTGTGTGGAATCTTAAAAACCTAGTGGTAACCTAATCAAGGTCTTGCACACTTCTACAGGAGTAAAACTTTTGCCTTGCCACAGAACTCTGGATCTTGTCATTTTCTTTACTTGTTTTGTTTTTTAGTTGGTTTCTCAAGACAGAGTTTCTCTGTGTAACTTTGGAGCCTGTCCTGAAACTCACTCTGTAGACCAGGCTGGCCTCAAACTCACGGAGATCTGCCTGTCTTGCCTTCCAAGTTCTCTATATAATAGTCTTGGCTGTCCTGGAACTCTCTGTAGACCAGGCTGGTCTCAAACTCAGAGGTTCACCAGTCTCTTAAGTGCTGGGATTAGAGGTAAATGATATGCCTATGTAATTTTCTCGAGAGTCCAGACTAATTTCTTTTTCCTTCCTTCTTTCCTTCCTTCCTTCCTTCCTTTCTTCCTTCCTTCCTTCCTTCCTTCCTTCCTTCCTTCCTTCATCTTCTACAGGTCTCTCTACATACCCTTTACTGCTCTGGCACTCCTTTACACATATTTGGGAAGAGGGTCTGGCCCCTTGTGAGAAATGGGCCAGACAAGGCATGCTGGCTCGTGGCAGCTTCAATCCAAAAACTCTGGAGGCAGAGATAGATGGATCTTTGTGAGTTCAAAGCCAGCCTGGTCTACATAGCAAGAGAGCCAGGGCTATATAGAGGAACCCTGTCTCAAAACAAAGAAACTTTGTGATTGGGCAAGTCACAGGCCCTGGAGAAGACATGTACTACTGTCCCCTTGTTGACTGGGTATGGCATCAAACTGCCTTCTAAAGATTATGCTCTTCCACTTTGGTCAGGGAAGCTACTGTCTATAGGAAGTGACCGAGTAAAGCAGGGACTTAAGATTGCTCAAGTGACTGGGTGCTGAGCCCTTTCTAGGACATCTGTGCCACTTGTTCCAGAGAACATCACAGGAGAAAGGGGGTAAGAACAGAAGAGCTGGAGGATGAGGATGCCTTGAAGGGCAGTCCTTTGACACATGGTTGTTGCACCCATGAGCTCAGGCCAGCAGTGGTCTGAAACACAGCTGTTGGCATTCCTCCTCAGATGACCAGAGGGTTGAGGGGCCCGCCCTTGCAGGAAGAGCTATAGACAGGTAAAGGTTGCTGCACAGTTCTCAGTGGTATGGCTACTGGGTCATGGCCTTGCTCAAGTAAATAACCAAGCATCAGTGTGCACACAGGCAACACTAATTAATGCAGGAGGCTTCAAAAACTTCTCCTCCTCCTTCTTCTTAAGACAGTGTTTCCTTGTGTGGCTTTGGAGCCTGTTCTAGAACTTGCACTGTAGACCAGGCTGGCCTCGAACTCACAAAGATCCACTTGCCTCTGCCTCCTGAGTGCTGCAACTAAAGGCATGCACCTCCACTGCTGGGCTCAAAAACTTATGTAAAATAAATAAATAAGTAAATAAATAAAATAAAAAACTGTCTTAAAAGGAGAAAAAGGAGGGGCTGTGGAGGGGGCTGAGAAGTTAAGAGCACTTTCTGCTCTTACAGAGGACCTTCACCAATGTGGAGGCCACCTGTAAATCTAGGGAATGTGACACTCCTCTTACCTCTCTAACTATCTGACATGGGTTCACAAAGTCACACACATACACATAATGAAAAGAAAAATTAATGTTCAAAAGACTATATAAAGGAACAAAAATTGGGGGGGGCAGGCTAGAGAGCCAGCTCAGATGTTAACAGCAAGTGCAGCTCTTACAGAGGACCAGAGTCTGTCCCTAGCCCTCACACCAGATGGTTTCTAGTCACCTGTAACTCCAGCTGCAGAGGACAGATGCCTCCGGCCTTCATGGGTGAGTGCACTTAGAAACACATACACATGATTAAAATGATAAAATAAATCTTTCTTTTAGATTTATTTATTATGTTTACAGTGTCCTGCCTGCGTGTATGCCCGCAGGCCAGAAGAGGGCACCAGATCTCATTACGGATGATTGTGAACTCAGGACGACTTCTGGACAAGCAGTCAGTGTTCATAACCACTGAGCCACCTCTCCAGCCTGATAAAACAAATCTTAAAACAAAAGAACCATCTGTCCAACTTGACTGAGATAAAGCATTGTGGCCCAAAACTTGGGGAAGAAAGGGTTTCCATCAGCTTCCAGCTAACAGTCCATCCCCGAGGAAAGCCAAGGCTGGAACCTGGAGGCAGGAACTGAGGCAGATGCCATGAACTGCTGCTTTCTGGCTTGCTCTCCCTGTGACCATCCCCGCCTCCTTTCTCACAGTACCCAGGACCGCCTGCTCAGGCTGGCACTGCTCACAGTGCCTTAATCAAGAAAACACCTCCACAGACATCCCCATAGGTCAATCTGATGAAGGCAATCCCTCAATTACAATTACGGCACCCTCTTCCCAGATGACTTCAGCTTGTGTCAAGGTGACAAAAAGAAAAAAGAAAAAACAAGACACCACACTTAGTTTTTCAAACTCAATCATTTTTTCTGATGTGGGGTTGGTTTGTCTGGTTTTCTTTTGAGACGACATATGATGTAGCTCCCGGAACACAGTGTGCACTTCTGTGTCTGGTCTAAGTCATGCTAGGGTTAGAACACAAGGCCTCTAGCAACCTGAGAAGTGCTCTACCCACAGCCTTTCAAACTCCCTTCCATGGGATTTGATAGAAAACCACGCCTTTCCCATCCCTGATCCAGGCTCCCCAACTGTATACATTTGTACTGACATCCCCAGCATTGGGTCCCATTGTGCCTCCTACATATTTATTTCTGACATGTCTCATTCCTCATCAACCTGTCCTACATCTCTCCTGCCCCCTCCAACCTCCCTCTGGGAGCACAGATCTGGAAGGCAATTTGGATCAACTTATTTCTGTCTTCCAGGGAGAGGGCTACGAAGAGAGGCTGCCAAGTCCCCAGGACCTGGATTGTGACATACTTACAGCCGTGAAGCCACAGAATAAAGACAACAGTTTCTTCAAGAAAGAATATGGTGTGTGTATTTCAGCCATGATTGCAGACCTGGTACCCTGATGCTGAAGTCAGCATCTTCCCGGGGAGTTCTGGGCTGCTGAGGCCCAGCATGTCAGCCAGGGACACTCAAGCTGACTTATTCTTCTTCCTGACTGCCTGGTGACTTTCCTCGGATGCTTGGCTCAGCCTTCAACCTTTATCACATCACAATAGGAACTGGCTGGGCATGCTGGCACACACCTTTAATCCCAGCACAAACAAACACCCCACAAGGGTAAGATCCCAGAACCTACTCCAGTGGCTCAAGACTGCCTGGAGCTCCAGCTCCATGGAATTTATGCCCTCTTCTGGCTCCTGCATTCACATGGCAGACAACTCACATAGATACGCATGCACATCAAGAAAAATAAAAATATAAAAACCCTGACAAAACAGTAGGCAGCTGAGGAGGTTTACAGTAGTAGGAAAACAGGTCCCCTTCACAGCCCTTACTCAGCTCCTTCTCCAGATAGGCCACGCTGGACAGGGAAGGAGATGACCTCCCTATACGCCACCAAGGGCAGCAGAGCACAGAGCCACCGGGGCACCAGGGCCACCAGGCAAAGTACTCACCATTTGAGCGACTGACATCCACTGCCCCTAAATCCTGGCCCAAAAGGTGCTCACTAAACAGGGTGGAATGAATTAGCAAGGGACTTCGAGGTCACACATTTTGATTTGTTGTTCATTTAATTTAATAAAAATTTCAGCTTTTAAAAGAAAGTATGTATTTACCTTCATTGTGTATGCAAAGTTTGGCCTGTGCCCCATGTGCATGGGTGCCTGAGACTGAATTAAATATGGTTATGAACAATAGTGTGGGTGCTGGCCATCAGGGTTAATGGCAAATACATTTGTCCGCTGAGTATCCTGTCAGCCAACACACTGGATTTTTCATATATTTTCTGAGGGTTGAACTCAGGCCTCATGGTTATGAGGCAGGTACTTTACTGACTGAACCATCTCCTCATTCTTTTGTATTTTTGAGTTTCATGTAGCCCAGGTTAACCTCCAAGTAGCTATGTAGCTGAGAATAATCTTGTACTTTGTGTGTGTGTGTGTGTGTGTGTGTGTGTGTGTGTGTATTCAGGTGGCCTGGAAGTCACTATGGAGACCAGGTTGGCCTTCAACTCAGAGACCCATCCACCTGCCTGTGCCTTCTGATCACTGGAATTTCAGGCATGCACCCCAGCAGCTGGCTCTACCCTTTGAGGCAGTGTCCTGCCTCCCCCGCGTGGCTGGTGGAGGAATAGGTTTCTTTCACAAAGAATTCTGAGCCCCTGATAGGTGCTAAACCAGTAACTTTTGAGCTTAGAAAACGATTTTCTTGTACTACAAAATTTCTCTGGCCTGATGGAGCAGCGACGAGGGTGGAATTCTGGAGCTCTCCAATGTGGTCACTAGGGGGCGCTACGATCACAGAAAACAACTGACGCGTTGTCTCCGCGCCCTTGTCCACCTTATTCTCTTCATGCAGAAGCGTGCTCCCCCTCTGGGTGAGGCCTTCCAAACTGTCCCCTCGTGCCAGGTGCGCCGGGCAACAGTATCGCCAAACACTGTTCTGTGCCGTGTTACCCTGGCACACGTTGGTTGTGGGCTCCATGTCCCCCCTTATTCACTGAGTCGTCTCCTCTTCTCCTCCCTCCCCTTACTTCTCCCTCTTCTCCCAACTCTTTAAGATAGATCTCTTGTAACCCAGGCTGTCCTCAAAACCCACATAGTTGAGGACGACTTTGAAACTCTGGCTTAATAACTCTATGTGGAATTAACGCTGTGGGGGCCTTCCACAGACCCGGCTCCAGCTGGCCATGTAGCCAAGGATGGCCTTGGACTCTTTGTTTGCTCTTTTTGTTTCTTCTATGTCTCTCTTTATAATATCATCATCATCATCATCATTATTAAGACTGGTGTCTCTATGTAGCCTTGGCTGTCCTGGAACTCATTATGTAGACCAGGCTGTCCTCAAAGTCACAGAGATCTGCCTGTCTCTGCCTCCCCAGTGTTGGGATCAAAGGTGTGCCACCACTGACCAGTGACCTTTTTATTTTATGATTTATTTTATTTTACATGTACAAGTGTTTTTGTATGTGTGTATGTTTGTGCACTGTGTGTGCCTGATGCCCTGGAAATCAGAAAAGAGAATTAGATCCCTTGGAATCAGAGTTATGAACTATTGTGAGCCATCAGGTTGGTACAGGGAACCAAATCCAGGTCCTCTGTAAGAGCAACAATTGATCTTAACCACTGAGTTCTCCAACCTTTGCCTTAAACTCTTCCTTTGTTTTGCTTTGTTTTTTGTTTTTCAAGACAGGGTTTCTCTGTGTTGACCAGGATGGTCCGGAACTCAGAAATTGGCCTACCTCTGCCTCCTGAGTACTGGGATTAAAGCTGTACACCTCCACTGCCCAGCGTCTTTTCTCTTTTTTAAATATCTAATTTGCATAGTGACAAAAAAAACTGACTAACACAGTTACCAGCCATTAATCTAAGAATTTTATATGTCAATCTATGCTTAAATGCTTTTTTGTTGTTGTTGTTTTTGAGACAGGGTTTCTCTGTATTGCTTTGGAGCCTGCCCCGGAACTTGCTCTGTAGACCAGGCTGGCCTCAAAGTCACAGAGGTCCTCTGGCCTCTGTCTCCCAAGTGGTGGGATTAAAGGCATGTGCCACCAACGCTGGGCTTGCTTAAGTGCTTTTACTTGTAACTATAATTATACATGCTAATGGAATTCAATATGACATTTTCATAAATTTGCTGGTGGATTTGCTGCCACAGTGGACTTGGTGCTATCTTTATCCCTTCTTCACAGATGAGGTGACTGAAGCATGGAGTAGACATCTGCCTAACACTAAAAGGAGCTTTTAAAAAAAATCTATCTTTGGCAGATCTCTGTGAGTTCGAGACCAGCCTGGTCTACAGAGCTAGTTCCAGGACAGGCTCCAAAGCAATACAGGAAAGCCCTGTCTCGAAAAACAAAAAACAAAACAAAACAAAAATCTATCTCTATATTTATCATGCATGTCAGGAAAGTGTGCTACCCACTGAACCACATCTCCAGCTGTGTTTATCTGAGAAAATGCTTGCCCTGATTCCCAGTTGGTCTTGAACTTTTAACCCACAGGCCTCTAAATGCTTAGGTAACAGTTTTGAGCTACTGTGCCAGGTCTTCGATTTCCCTGCAGCCCTCTCAGCTGGATGCACCTGCTGAATCTGGCAGGGAGGATCATGGGAATCAAGATCACATCCTGGACCAAGTAAGAGCGAGCTCATTTGGGGAAACAAGCCAGTTCTGACCTGAAACTTAGCCAAATCCTCTGGGGGGGGGGAGGAAAACAATCGGCCCAGCAGAGGAATTTTCCTTGCTGGTGTCATCTGCACTGTGCTGTAGCTCTCCTTTGATGGAAAGTGGGAAGGTCAGTGGAAGAATTTCTCAGGGCAGCCAGCAGCAAGCCAGGTGCTGGTGTGGTCTGGAATTCTCCCTCCTTCCCTGGAGGAAGCCTCTGGGAAAGTTGCTAGTATAAAAAGGGAGTCCCTGGCTGGATGGTAATACATGCCTGTCATCCTGTATGCCTGTCAGTCATCCTGCATGCCTGAGTTTGCCCCATTAAAACAAAATAGCCAGGTGAGGCAGCACCTGCCTGTAATGCAAGAACAAGGAATCAAAGAAGGATCCCTGGGGCTCACTGACCCCTCACACACACACACACACACACACACACACACACACAAACATGCACACATACTCTCACAATGCACACACACTCACACATATGCACACACACATTCTCATACATACACCTACATTCTCTCTCTCACACACACTCAGAGGAAGACAAGCAATGGCCTCCACAAACAAGTGCCTACATGCATGTGCACACACACAGCAACATGTATAGGTGTAACATAAACACATAATTAAAGTAAATAATATCCTATATAAATACTGGAGGCCAGGTGTGGTGGCACTCCTGTGATACCATCACTAGGGAGGTCAGAGGCAGGAGGATGGTGAGTTCCCAGCCAGTCTAGCTACATAGCAAGATCCTTCTAAATAGAACCAAGGGCCGAGCAGCTGGAGCAGTGGCTCATGGGCTGAGTGCCGACCACACACACATGAAGACCTGAGTTTGGAGCCTCAGAGCCTATGTCAAAAGCAGATGCAGTAGCACATGCCTGTAATCTCAGGGATGGGAGACAGAGTCAGGGGATCCCTGGAGCTCACTAACAGCCACTCCAGCTTATTTGGGGAGCTCCAGGTTCAGTGAGAGAACATACCAACTGATAAGGCAGGTATGAGCATGGCGTGGTGGCAGAGTGCTGGCCAGCATACCAGGCCCCCAGGCCTGTCCCTAGCACTGTATAACCCTGGCACTCAGGAGGGGGAGGCAGGAGGATCAGGAGTGGGTCATCCTCCTCTGTGAAGTGAGTGTGAGACCAGCCTGGGCTAGAAACCCTGTCTGAAACATAAATAAATCTAAACAATTGGAAACTTGAGGGATTGAGGAAGACATCCTCTGGCTCCCACATGTACGCACACATGTGTGCACATTCACACACACAGACCAAACAAAGAGACAGGCTGAGTGTGGCTCGGTGGTACAGGGATTCTCTAGAATATGTACAACCCTAAGCCTCCTGTTCAGCACTGAAGAAGCAACCCAACTGGGACTGGTGAGATGACTCAGTGGGCAGACACGCCAGCTCTGAGCCTAACAATATAAGTTCTGATTCCCAGGACCCACACAGTAAAAAACAGACAACTGATTCCCCAAGGCTGCCCTCTGACCTCCACCTGGAGCTGGGCATAGACGCTTTCTCCAGAACACACAACATAAGGAAATAAATGAGCTGGGTGGTGATGGCGCATGCCTTTAATCCCAGCACTTGGGAGGCAGAGGCAGGCTGATCTCTGTGAGTTTGAGACCAGCCTGGTCTACAGAGTGAGTTTCCAGGACAGCCAGAGTGGTTACAGAGAAACCCTGTCTTGAAAAACCACCCCCCAAAA